AGCAACTGGAAGAATTCTCACAAACCATTTTTTTGGCTTTTCTTTTGGTGTTACGTTCACATTCCTAAATTAGAGACTTACCTGGTATTTACATCAGTCAGCACAGTGAACATACAGTTTACTAAACTACTACTTGGAAGTAATGAAAAACTCTGAGTCAAATTCTGGAAAGACTAAGTCTGAATGCCATAGTCTGGGACTGAAAAAATTTCATTGTCTGTATCATTTCTCCAAGGAAAATAAACAGTAGCAAAACCAGACAAAAACAACTACCCACCACAAACAAAAACAAACAAACAAAAACACAACAACAACAACAAACAAAAAAACAACAACAAAAAACCTCAGACAAGTCCGTCTTATTAGGGATCCTGAGTATCCTCCAAAGGGTAAAGATGCTTCTAGTATCTCAGATCTAAACTCTCTAACCATACTGAAATTTGACACTTTGTTTATGGTTCCTCACTTCTGGATTGTGATTAAAAAACAGGAAAGTGAGAAGTACACTTCCAGTACACCCTGCAGACAAACATTTGGGTAGTGTGAGCTCTAGATTAAATGTTCAGCCTCTAGGGAACTGAAACTTAATTTCTGCATTTCCTAAGGAAGCACACTAACCCTTCATCATACAAAACATGACAGTCATCCTTTTCACCTCCTCATATTTAGACTCTTCTGGGGACCATGGTTTACGTTTGCATATTCTTAAATCTGAAGAGATGAGACTGTAGAGACAAAACAGACAGATGTCTGTCTCCCTAGATGGCAGCAACAGCACCAATCAAAGTTTAGGCAGTTACAGATTTTTCAAGCAAACAGAGAATTACCTGGCAAATTTAAATTGATACAGAGTGAAGCAGAGTCTGGGGGAAGACACTATAAAGGATTGCCCTAAGTAAGGCAGTTGAATCTGACAGCAGTGTCTTAATGCACTTTGCGTAAAATAGTGGCCACTGAAGCTATGACAGACAGATATCAAGCCAGTGTATACTTAATTTGTTTTAATGCACTAAGCATCTCAGTTCCACATTTGATTCCTGACAGTCACCTTAATATGAGTGGGAGCTGAGATGCTCTACAGAATGCATGCTCAGAATACCTAAAAGCAGAGACAACGTAATAGATGCCTTTTAGAAATTTCTACTGCTTTTAGAATTTTAATAAATGTATTTTATTTACCATACTGTCTACTTATATATATTCTTTATGCATTACTAGTTTTATGCTACTAGTTTTCTTTGTGGTTTCCTGACTTCATCACTATTTGAATGCTGGAGGATGAAGGGTTCAATTTCATTAACAAAACTTAAAATGTAAGGTTGAAAACTCAGACTCTCTCATACAAATGTGGTGAAAGGAAAGGCAAAATACTTAATCTAATAAATCAAATCCTCTATGTTTAATCCTTCCTTCCCTAAACTGGGGAATTATAATTAATCCAAAGGAACTATAAGCATTTTTGAAGTGTTTCACTTGGGGGCTTTTAGTTTGTACATCCTTCCAAACACCTCTTTCACAAATGTGTATTTCTTTAAGAACCATATGTATTTCCATTTCTAGGAGTTCACAGCAAGTATTTAAAAATTGTGCCACGTACATCAGAATCAAAGGGGAAAGGTTTGGAAAATGTAAATACATGCTTGGAGATGTTTGTTTTTTCCAATCAGTTACCATTTTCAAAATATGCTGTATTTTCCATGTAACCCATTTTTCATCTGCCCAATTACCAGCAATCTTTTTTTCCTGCTATCAAAAATGATCATTTGTTTCTTTATTGTAGTAGATAAAACATCCTTTCATTGTTTCAGCTCACAAGCTGCGCAGATACTACCCACTGTTCTTGCCTCCAGCACTTCACATTATTGGTGTATTATTTCATGCATGCCCTACTCTTTTATCAATTGCTTTTGAAGTAATGTTAATAGACTAGAAAATTGAGACATTTATGAAGTATAGGCAGTGTTTATGAAAAAATCCATAAAATATGACACAGGCAAGACAAGATAAAAGCAGCATTTTAATAGATTACGGCAAAGAGATCCTGTCAGAAGTTGACAACTGACTCCTCCGAGATCACTAATTTTTATGGGATTAATTCTTTAGTATTAAAAATGAAGTTAAATGTCCTAATTAATCTGTAAATAGCACACCCAGAATTAAACCTTGTGGCCCCTTCCTTGGCAGAGCAATACTTTTGAGTAATAATTTTGAGTAATTACCTCAAACTGATAAACTGAGTAAGATGATGTTATTAGCTAAATAGCCATTTGAATCAGACTTTATTGTATCAATGATGTATGAAATCAGCACTATTTGATACAGATGTTTGTATAGTAACTTCTGACTCTCAGGAAACTACAGATCACTTGGATTCAACTACACCAGATGTGTCCAGCCCATGGTCCATGAGTTTTGTGCAACACTGAACAGTTAGAAATGACAGGTCCACAAAAAAAAAAGCAAATAAGTGATTTACTGAAACGTGAATAAACAGGAAACAGAATCCAAATTAGTTGTAGGGACCTTGACACCAGGATTGAGAGAAACTAAGAGTTTATGCTACTAGGTTCAAACAAGCGTAGAAGAGAACACTGAGAATAAGATGCCTGAAACTAGAAACTAGAATTTGGCAGCTGTCAGAGAAAGCATTGAGGTCACAAGGAAAATCTAGAATTGTCATCTAGAAGTGACATAATTAAGTCATAGATAATTGTATATCATTATATCTATAAAATAGGTAATGTCAGCATCAAAAATTATTGTAGAATATGACAGTACAATAGATTCTACTGTTCCAGTTTATTTGCTCATTTCCAGATAGCAAAACAAGGAACTTTTTCAAAACAAAGTTCAAATAGACTTTTAAATTACTTATGTGTTTAGTGTTTCAATTGAGATAGACTTTTGAAAAAAAAATTTTAATGAAGGCTTATGACTGCATGTTCTGAAACAGAATGTAGCCTAGATACTCTATTGTATTTGTATTAGAAGGGTATAATTGTAATACTTTGGAAGTCTGCCTAAAAGGAACATCCCCAAACATGAGGGCAAAAGGACCATATAATTCTCTTTCAGTATCAACTTAAGCTTTCCACAGATGTACTGAAAGCATGATGAGGGCAGAGATAAACTAAGTGATTTCATTCTGCCTGACTGTTATAGTCTCCCAGTAATATCAGGCATAAAAAAAAATCTGAAAATATGCAAACGCTTTAATCCTTTTTAAAATATGGCTAAAATTCACTACTAAATGTTTCTCACACAGGATTGAAAGATGGTAAATAAAATTTATAAAACCAGCATGACCATGCTTTAATCTCTCATTACCCTTTGAGATTAGGCTTACAGAAAGGCATAACTTTTGTTACATCAGCTAATATAATTAGAAGATAACTATAGTGAAAATAATTATCACTGCAAGTCCTAGACATTTGTGATACAATACCATAACTCTAATGTAGCTTACATTCCAGTAGCTGAAATAGACAGTGTTCTATATTATTAAAACAAGTGGACCAAGAAAAATGATCTCTGCTTTTTTTCTTACAAGTCAGTCTTATTTTATCTCAAAACAGTTTACATCTATTTGGAAACACTGAGGTCATCTTTAAAGAACATTCTCAAAAGAGAAAAGAACCTTTACATAAATATTTTGAGTGGAATTTAAATCCTAGTATAATTCTGCCACTGTTCTGCTACAGATGAGAAGGATATTGGCATGATAAACTTCAAATTTTTACCTTTTGTTCTCATAGTACTGTTAGGCTAGACTTGGTTTATAAGAAAAACACTAGTAAAGAAATACAGTGTTTTTGCAGTATAAAAGGTGACATACTCCATCAGCTCAGCTGGTGCAAGCTGGACAAGAGGACTTTCATTTCATTGCAAAAAGTTTTCATTTTTCAGTCTAGTTATCAACGATATTTTGCTGCCTCATTTTCATGCTTTCTATATGAGATGCAATATTCTATTTACTTTGTTATTAATTGGAAACAAAGTACAACCTCTGTGTACTTTTAAATGGTTGAACAATATCAAGAGCAATTTCACTGCTTAGGCATTTTACAATTGACTGATTCATGGAAGAAGTCTGGATTTGCTCACTTTAAACAAATTTCAAATATCTTGGCTGTTCCTAAAGTGCATTTGTAATCTAAGCAGATTATAAAAATGAGAACATGACAGAATTACTCAATATAATCTTAATAAGCAACAAAAAGTAAGCTGTTTTCAAGATTAAATATGAATAATATTTGCTCTTAATGCAATTAAGAATAATTAAACCTGTCTTGCGAACAACAACCTGATGATGTAGGTTATGTTTTTGTTTTGTCCATAAGTTTAAAAAATATAACTTAAAAATGCTTTTTTAAATTTCTTTTTTCTCCTGGAAATACTCCAGCAGAGGGTAACAAAGATGATAAAGGGCCTGTAGCATTTCTCTTATGAGGAAAAGCTGAGCAACCCAGGTCTGTTTAGCCTTGAGAAAAGACGACTCGGAGGGGATCTCATCAATGTCTATAAGTATTTAAGGTACAGGTGGCAAAGGTATGAGGCCGCACATGAGTGGTGAGTGGCAATATGACAAAGGGAAATGACTACAAACTGAAGCATAGGAAGTTCTGCACATATGTGCATAAGAACTTCTTCACAGTAAGGGTGATGGAACACTGAAACAGGCTGCCCAGGGAGGTTGTGGGCGTTCAAGACCTGCCTGGACACCTGCCCTGCAACCTGGTCTAGGGGGCCTGCTTTGCAGGGGGGCTGGACTCAATGAACTCCAATCTGAACAATTCTGTGATTCAGTGATTTTCTTCTTTTTTTTTTTTTTTAATTTATTTTTTATTTTTTAATTTTTTACACTAGAAAATATTTTCCTTAAACTTTAATACCTTTTTTCTTTCTCTTGTACGCTCATTTGGACGGGAGGGAGTCTTTCAAACTGTACCCACTTCAGTAATCTGACGTATAGTTCACATGAAATAACAAAGATTCCTTACCTTGATGGATTGACTGTAAGGTCCTATGCTAGCAGGTGCCCAATGGGAAATACTCTGTACATGCATGACCAGTTTTTCCTCACTTAATACGTCATCTGTTGCAATGTCATAGCTATGTGCAAGGCAATCAATGCAAAACAATACTCCATCAGGCAACAGGGTTTCCACACACACTCTGAAAGCAGAAGAAAATTATCTTTTATCAAATAAAGTTTGCATGCACTATCAGCATTTATTTTCCAAGTTGATTTCTTTTTAATTTGGATACTATATAATGAAATTTTACCAGGAACATAAAAACAAACACTACAGTATTGTAGTAACCTGCTGGTATTTACACTCTTATCTCCTCTCCAAATGATAATCAGCTTCACAATTCCAGCAAGACAATCTTCACTAACAAGAAGAAACTAGTACCACAGCCTATGGCTCATTTACCTTTGTTTATTTTTACGGTGTATATCATTATTTTAAGAATACATGAATTCTTTCACCAAGAAAATTTTGACCATGCAACTTTGGAAATAAGTTATGCTAAAGCAGCTTTTGGATAGGGAGCACCTGGCCGTATCACCATTTTTCACTGACTCACCTTGCATATGTTGGAGTAAATGCTCAATTTTCTAAACATGAGCAACAGCTCATTGTTGCTTTGCACCATCCTCACATGCTATAATGCAATACCAAGCATACTTTTCTGTTTTACTTTTAGTTGTTTGACAAATGCACAGAAAACCTACTTAAGCATTCATTAAGAAAGTTCATTTTTGTTTGCTCCAAACTTAAAAATTTTAAAACTGTGTGCCTGAATGAGAGACAAAGTATATTGCAAATGCCTAGTGAAAATTGTGTGTGTGTGTGTGTGTGTGAAGGGTGGGGGAGAGCGGGGCAGAGAGGGAAATAAATAAAAAGGAAGAATAAAAAATGAAAAAAACAATGATGTTTCAAAGCCAGAAACATAATTATATTTGCAGTGTATGCATTAAAATGTCATTTATCTCCCAGCAGGTATCCAACAAAAAATTACTTGTTCTCTTTACGTATCATGTAACAGAACCTTACAAAATTCTTATCGTCTTGCTTTATTTCTTCCAAGAAAACTATCTTTCTCCCCTCCTTTCCCACACAAATACACTGCTTTTTCCTCACTATCATCATCATAAGCATGGATGAATGGATTTTCTGCTTGGGATGGTGAATTTTCAAGACAATTTTGCAAATTTAGTGTAGATCTAGACTCCTGAGTCAATGCTTCTAGCATATTGCTTGTGAGAACTCCCACAAACAGGCTTCTGTGCATAATGCAACAATACAGGCATGCAAACTGCTGCTTAATTTTTCTTTTGGCTAAAATGCAACATCTGTACATCCTATAAAATAATCAATGTCATTTCCTGCTGCAACTTCCTAGTCTTTCTACCAGTTATATTATGACCTTTCCAAGAAGTAATGGAAAACTATGTGCGGCTGTGCAAACGTGAAGGCTTAAGACATGCAGCAGCATGAGAAATGAAGGACACTAGATCGGGGAAAAAGTGCCATAAAGAGAACTTAAGATACAGAGCAGTAGATATACATTTTTGTGTAGTTTATAGTAGTCTAAATCCTTCCTCTTCTGGCACACACCACCACTACTCCATTCCTCCACTGTTTGGTAACTCTGGACTACAATTAGGATCTCAAAAAAGCCTCTTCCTGCTGTCTTTATTCTCTTCTGACACTCAGACTATAAATAATTAGGAGAATGTAAATATACCATCTTAATGATGGTAAATAATAGAACAAATATCTTCTAGCTATTTTCACATTATACTTAAAATTCATGTGACTAAACTTCATTCTCTGTAATAAAAAGTATGTAATATTTTACATTAGAAAATGCTGAACAATTGATTTAAAAAATATCAAGATACAAGCTTTGTTGCCTGTTTTGAGAAGTGGGTTGGACTAGGTAACTTCCAGAGAACCCACCCAAGTGGTTTTTCAAACTAAAGTAGTTCTGTATACTGAACACAGTATCTCAGAAGCTTAAAAACATGAACTACTGTTATAAGAAATATGCTCTTCTGACAAATGCAAGAAAGAATTTACAAGGGGAAAATTATGTTTAACAATTTAAAAAAGCAGAGCAAAATTTTCATGGGCTAGGTGTTTGTAGTCCAATTTCCAGCGACATCAACAAAAAACAAAAAAACTAATAATAAACAAACTAAAATCAAATAACATCAGGATCAAATTCTCAATATTAACAAACTGTTTCATTATGTCAGAGCTTGACTAGGACCCAATGTTAACAGTTCTGTATGATGGATATTAAATAGTTATGATTTGAAGCTTTATGAGTAAAAATATTAGACTCAGCGCATTCTGAAGTAATTTCTTATTCATATTTGCATTTACTGAATAAGCAAGTATAGCTATGCAACTCATGAGATGATGGAAACACACAAGAAAAGATCATATTGGGTCACATCAAAGATACATTTAGTGCAACCCTGCGAAATCTTCATCAGACATCTCAATGATAGAGCAAAGCATACCCTCAGCAAGTTTTATACAAAACTAAGAGCGGTGGTTGTTACAATAGAGGGTGATGCTGTCATTCAGAAAAACCTGGAAATGCTGGAGAAATGGGCTGACAGGAACATTATACAACAAGTGTAAAAATCCTGCAATAAGATAAAACCCCAGGCACCTGTGCATGCTGGGAATTGTCCAGCTGGAAAGAAGTTTCGTAGAAATGGACCTGGTTGGTCCTAGTATACAGTGAAAGCCAGCAACGTGCCCTTATCACCAGGTTTGATGGTATCCTGGGCTGCATTAGGAGGAGAACTGCCAAGACTGAGAGACACACAAGCAAACAGAGCCCCATCAATACAAAAGACTTGTCATTTCACCTGAGTTAGGGAGAACTGACACTTGCAAAAAATGTACTACTTTTCTGTAAAGTCATATTGAGGGGCATTTATAAACCTTATGGAAAATACAAAGGCAAGAATTTCCACCTCCAGTGTTTCTGACTTGAGCACCCCTGACAACATTACTTCAAAAGGTAGCAAAAGTCTGTTTCCAAGTCTGTGAGACATAAATATTTGTAGAAAAGCTTCATAAATGTGATAACAATAATACAGTACATTACAGTGTATCATAAATAAACTATAGCAGTAGTCTAATCCTACCTTGCCGGTGGACACAAATCAAATTCTGTCACATAAACTGAATTTATAGCATTGAAATCTTTCATGCTCTTCATATACAGATGAACTAAAATAATATCCTTCAGTTTTAATCCCTCTGAAGTTATACTTGCTGCAAGATAAAAAAAAAAATAATGTAGCTGTTAAAGACAAAATATTTTAAACACAGGCATCCTGTATTTGTCCAACAAAACAAACTGGTAATAACTAGTTGTCTAAATATGACTGAAGGCTTTGCAACACACTTCTTTTCCTTACATAATGCCCAATTTTTCATGAAATTTTCTCATGTCTCATTTTCTAAATAGACAGAAATAGAATGATAAATTCTATCCACACATTAATGAATCCTTTCCAAAAGAAAATGTATCATGCATTCATGCAAATAGATAAGTTACATTCCTAACTTTTTATATCACTAAGTTTTATCCTTTTTTTTTTCCTGTTAATTTTTTGCTTTGTTTCAGATTATGACAGCTAGTAATCTATAAGATTTCGAATCAAAAATTAACAGATCTGTAAGGGACAATAAGAAATCCTTTAGTCCATAATTCTTCTCAAATAAAAAGATCGAACATTTATGTGCTATTCTGGAGGGACGTTTGTCTAAGCTGATTTTAAAAAAAAAGTTCAATAATGAGGAAAGAGTTATAAATGGCAAGACAGACGGTAGGAAACAGAAGTAGCCACAGTAGAAATGAAGATATGATGTGAGCACAGGAAAGCTCAAGCACAGAAAGTTAAAGAAAAGATACTGGGAAGTGGAAATAATGTGAATGTGTATGCATAGAAGATTTGAGCCATAGCATTTAAGGAGAATGTGTTACTGTTACATACATCAATACCATACGAGATATGTGGATCAGCTCTGCAGTGTGGACCTTTCACAACTCATAAGCTGGAGAAATAAAATGAAGCAAGTCTTCTCTGAATGACGTGGAGAAATATAGAGCATATAATAGCATTTACCTAACTTAAATGTGATACGCAAAGCTCTTCTCAATGTAGTTTCGGGGTTCTTGTCCTTTAGAATTACAGTTTCTATCTATATGCATCTATATATAGTCTTCCAGAGGAGTAGCATGAGAGTATAAATAGTCTTCATTCTTGCCTTAGTGAGAAACAAATAATTTTGTGGAAAACATTTCTTTGTCTTTAAACATAGTAGAGGATCTGGCACACTTCCATGAAAGTCGATGTGGTCACACCAGCACTGGGTTTTATTCTAAATATCTCAGCTTTATTTAGTCATACTGCCACTAGTGATGGCAGTCTGAAGAGAGAAAGGGAAATTCTCACTGACAGAAAAAGACATTCCCTGTTAAGCGATACAAGAGATTATAAAACAATTGACATTGAACTTGCATGAAGTCAAGACAGATCTCCAGAAATGATCAGCTAAGAAATTAGTACACAATCATAATTCTGTCCAGAAATATAAATGTACTTTATAGTGCTTGATAGTAATCACTAGGTCAATATTAGGTGCTATTTCATCACTCAAGGAGAAGATAATGACATTTCGTAAATTTCCGGCCAGAATTTTAGTCAAGTAGAGTTTGAGAGTTTGAGTTAAAGGTTTTGTAGCACTATGTGGAATGTCGGGGAAAAAAAAAATAAATGTAAAAAAGGAAGTCTAAATTGCATAAACTGAGAAACAAACTCTAATTTGTGGACATGAAGTAGCATTATAGCAAATCAAAGGCAAAGAGATTTGGATAAATTTATAACTTTTAACTTTTTAGAAATATGTTAAGTACAATTCCCTTTTTCTCTGCATAAATGAGAGGAATGATGGGAAATAATATCTCCCTAGCTTGCAAACATAATAAAATTGATCTCCCAAGGTACTGTTGTTAGTAAAAACATAAAAAAGATGAACCAGTTACCAATTCATCATCTGGGTTCTTAACTACATGTTCTGCTTCCAAAGAGAAGACTATCACATAGCACATTCCCAGGATACACCTGGAAAGTCCTTCTGTTGAATTTCAAGCCATTCTCTCTTACAAAATATTTGTAAAATACAGCCAGGTGAAAGTCATTCTTTCTTATACAGAATTGCTTCTGACACACATTAAAAAGTACAGCTTTTTTTTTTTTTTTTTTTTTTTTTTTTTTTTAAATGAGTTATCTGGATCTTCAGACTGAGAGCTACAGAAGGCAACATCAAAACTGTCTACAGCAAGTAGTATTCTAGACTAATTTTTAATGCAATAAAAAACCATGTTGCTCCAGTGAAGCCTAGGAAGATATGCCATGGTAAATCTGGTCCAAAGCTGCTTTTTATGTAAAGCACTCCAATCTTTGTCATCTAAAGATATGCTTAAAAAAACTGTTTAAGAAAATAACAGTAAATGGCAAGGTACTGAATTCCCTCTTGTACTTGGCGTTATGGAAGAAATCCAACCACTTCATGGAACAGTTGCATGTTTCATAATGCCCAACAATAAATTTCTATTTCTGAATCCTTTGAGAAGCACTTATCCTCTTTAGAGATCATTAAATCAGTTAATCCTGGAAAGTGAAGGTTAAAAGGACTGTGCCTATTCCATTTTTAAACCATAAAGGACTGAAATGCTATATAGATCAGAAGTATGACTACAGACAATGCCTTGTGGATATCTGCCTATCAGTAAAGATCTCAAAAACATATCGCTTCCTTTTCCATGTCAGAAACTTAATTCATCTAGTCTTCCACAACCTCTTACAAAAATAATATAACCCCAAAGGAAATCTGAGAACTGACATTTTTAACCAAAGATGAGAATATTGCTATTTTTCCTGATTATAATACAGATAATGAAAGAAATGTGCTAAAAGCAACAGGCTACTGAACTACACAGACACAATCAGTTCTCATCTATGCTGTAGCAAAAATATATAATATATGTATTAACAGATATCCATTGAAATATGATAAGAACAAAATAAAATATTATGCAATCCTTTTGCTTTAATTAACATATTTTGTCCAGAAGATTTATACTAAATACTGTTGCCTTTTATTAAAAATTTAATCACATCTACCCTTCTGACTTCCAAGCAATTAAAACCTAGCTTAAAGGCCTTTGACAATAAACTTCCTTATTTCAAAGCAATTTCTATGGTTTCTTAATCGTCCTCTATTCAATCGCGAAATAAGACACATATGTTCAAGATTTTACACAATAACATTTCACAAGAATTGTGAGTGAGCAAGAATTCAAGCCCACGAATTTACTTAATAAGACTTATTTCCATTTTTATGAATGAAAAGAAGACTGTACAAATGTGCTTAATCTAATGATTATAACAAAAAAAAAAAAAAAAAAAAAAAAAAAAAAAAACCTGAACATTTTGTATTATATATCAATATCTTATAAGGACAGGATAATAAGGAACTTGGATTTCACAATTCCCAAGAAAGCAGTTTCTCCTTTGCATTGAGAATATAAGTAAGATTTATGGCTACTGACCTAATGTTCAACACTTTTCCAGAAAACTTAATTTAAAATTATAGTAGCTATAATAGTGCTTTAGCAAGTAGACAGCATCAACAGCACACATGTACTCTCACACATGATAAGTACTATGGAAATAGCATCACACTGATATGAGCACTGTGCTAGCTTTCTAGGGCCTTCACTGGCAGCCAAATTACAGTGTGTTCAGTATTAAAGCCAATAATGATTCCAATCAAACACTAGATGAGGTGGCAAACTGACAACCACAACACCTGAAGTTACAAAATCACATTGCAATACAGACTCCTTTTTTTATACCGTATTTGAGAATGTATTATTAGGAGCTGATAATGGATTATCTGAAAAAATCACCTTGGAGAGTCGAAAATGCTTCCTTTGCTGCCTCTTGAGCATTTTTGTCTTTTAATGGATGAAAGTGTGCAGTGATGCACGAAAACCACTGGTAACCAGTCACAGATTTCCCTGAACTTCTGAATGTCTTACCTATGGGAAATTCATAACAGCACTATGATTACAGAGATGAAAACAGTCACACTAACCAAGAATACATTTTAAATTGTTTAAGTAAGAAGAACCATGGAAAAAAAACAACATAATATAAATTGTTAAAAATTCTTCATAACTTATTTACAGAAATGTAGGTATAAATCAAATACTACAACTGTGCTGGTATCCAAGCTACCATTCAGTACTCATTAAACAAAGCAGTACTTCAACACTGCCTCCAGAAAATGTGCTTATAAGTAGTATTTAGCTGAGAATTTCAATTTTTCTCTCCTCCTTTACTTCTTTTCCCCTGACTTTTTACAGTTTTTCTACTTGTTCTTATAAAGACACGTTAAAGAAGTGATATTGAAAAGTTACAATTTTCAAAACTATTCAGCCAACATAGAAACAGATTTTCAAAGTTACCTGTCAAATTTTAAAAGAATTTAATATGGTTCTAATAAGCAGCAAGTGCATAATCTGTTTAGGTGCTTTTGTTATTATTGTTTTGTTTGTTTTAAAAATCCCCAGAATTTATCCACATTAAAAGTGCCTATGCACCACTCCAAATCAAACACTGTTACACTATGAAACTTACTTTTCAGAGTTTACTAATCTTTAAGTTTAGAGTAAAAGTGATGTTGTGGTACTTCAGTAAGTCACCATTCTAAAAACACTAGTTTATTTTGTGTTAGTCATCTCACATTTGAGCCAATGCTAGTATTAGACATATGATTTGCTCTGCAGCTCACCTAAGGGACAGTAAATTGTTAGGGTGCTAAACTTGATCACGCACATGACACAGTGACATTTTTATTAATGGAATAGACACCAATCTGTCCAGGCAAGCAAGACAAGTCATGGCATTTTATTACCCATTTTAGAGTTTCCTTTTATACTTTCAGTTTAAAATGGAGTTAGGATACAGGTACTGGCATGATCTTCTAAATAACTAATTCCTTCCACTGCAATGACAGTAATATTAAAGTAATTTAGTTCAGGCAAATTATAAACATTAACGTGTGAAAGAAAGAAAGAAAGAAAAAATCGGGTTACATTTCTTCTGCAAAATAACTTGAGTTTTATTACCACAGATTTATTGCTCCCTATCAAAAAACTTAATTGTAGTAGGAGACTTTTTATTTTTATTTTTTTAAGATGTGGCTATTAATGGGTACAAATTGTCTTATAGTCTTAACAGCTACGCTCCTGCCCAGCAGTGCATAAAATATTCACTATTACTTTCCTAATGAAAGTTGCACAAAACTCACTGAAATCCAAAGAATTATGTTTCAAAGTCTTCCCGATGATTGGACTGATATTCTGTTGCTCATCCGGTTCTGAAGAAGATAAACTATCACTGTTGTTGCAGATTACTTCACAAGAGCAGCTACTGCCCATAAATGTATCTGAAGATTTCTCCTGCATGAGAAAAAAGAATTATAAAATAAACCAGTAAACACCATACCAAGCAATATGAAACCATATTTCATCATTCAAGCTTTCAGTTTTAATTACAAAAACCACTTCAGCTTGACAAGCACCTAAGCTTAGAAGAATTAATGGAAGAACAAACAGTAACAGCTTTTCCTACTGTTTAGATTGCAGAATTAACAGCATACAATATATTCCCACTGATTCATCACATGGGATCAAATTCCAGGTTTAGTAAGCAATAACAGATATGAGAAACAATGAAACTTGAGATAAGAGAGAGGATGATATTATAATGAAGAAACACTGTTCCACAATTTTGCAGGACAGCTATGTTTGCCAGAAAATACAATAACTAAGGGAAAAAAAGAACAGAAATGTTATAGTAGCAACTTGATCATTAACACTGTCAGTAAACACTTCAGACAGTGCAAAAGACTATAAGAAAAGTTTTAAAACCTTGTTAAATCTTGAGTAAATGCAGCCCCTGTAAGTCTCGTAATCTTGAGTAAATGCAGCCACTGTCTTGGTTCCATTCACCTCATGCAAAGGCTATCCACTTAATCAAACTCAACAAGCTTTAGAATGCTCAGTATTTTGAGATAAATAAAACAGCATTTTACGAAATTTATACATCGAGTAATGTTTTGATAAGAAAGAAAAATAATGTGTGGTGTCTTTTTTTCCCTAAATTCTATCCACACAGTGGACAATCTATCTAGTGGTAGTCTACGTAGACTTCAGCAAAGCCTTTGAGATTGTCTCCCATAGTATTCTCCTAGAGAAGTTGGCAATCCATGACTTAGACAAGAACACTCTTTTCTGGTTAAAGAACTGGCTGGACAGCTGGGCTCAGAGGGGGTTGTTGAATGGAATTAAACCCAACTGTTGACTGGTCACAAGTGGCATTCCCCACCAAGGGTCAGAATCAGCACTTGTGCCGTTCAGTATCTTTACTGATGACCCAGACTAGGAGAATGGGAACTTCCTCAGTAAGTTTGCAGATGACATCAAGTTGGGTTGAAACATCAATCTGCCAGGGGGTAGAAAGGGATCCAGACCGGCAGGATAGCTGGGCTGAGGCCAACAGGATGAAGTTCAACAAAACCAAGTGCTGGGTCCTGCACTTTGGCCACAACAAACCCAGGCAATGCAACAGGTTTGTTTCCACTGTTGGTGATTCTGTGCTTCTAAATGCTTTCCTGGGCCTAGGATAAGAAAACTACCCAGTGCACCTTTTAATGCAAAAAGAATACACAGATCAGCCTTCCAAAACACTGTGTTCACTGTTACCAGCAAGTTGTGTGATTACAGCATACACATGTATCTATTTTTATGTTTAGATCAACAGTCAGAACCCACTACTCTCTTTCATCTTAATTTCCAATGCAGCCTAATCTGCAGGAGATGCTGACTTTGGTATCACTAGCTTGGCAAACACTACTTGTCTTGATATAAAAAGAAAATGAATTATGACTGAATTTGTCCATGAACCTCAAGCAAATGACACTGCATGCTGTCAAAAGGTGACAAAAAGGTGACAAAATATGAAGCCTTACATGAGGATTAAAAACTGCCAAATACTGTTTTAGCCCACAAATTAATTGTACTGAATATGAAACTTCTATGCAAAAAGAACATTAATATTATACAGCAAAGCACACAAGTGCATAAGTTATATGAAGTAAGGTCACCCAAAGCGTGACCCTCTGCATTCTCTGTTTTTCAAGAATTAGATCAAACCAAGCTGTCAAATAATGGGCTATATTAAAGGTTATTAATCAATTCCAAATATAAAAATTTTCATACAATAAGTCAATTTTATATTTTTTTTTATTTCCTTTGGAAAACAAAACATATCTAGTAGTAACTTTAACAGCTCTCTTGATATTAAGCAAAAGTAATAAAAACAAAAAGGCACAAGCTCTGATAATACTTCTGATCATACTTATCAGAAGTCTGAGAGCTCAATATTTACATTGATGTTTCACAGTTAAGGGAAAAAGTTAAGTGAAAATAGGGTTTTGGAAATTTTTAGGAAAGCCCATATTACAAAAAAGTCTTTACTCTGAGAGGAAACTCAGTTCTGCTGCCTCTAACAGGGCTCAAGGGGAATTTTTTAAGTGCTGCAAACTCTAAAACTATGCTGGTGGAAGGGCTGATGATCTTTCATTGGACCTCATTCTATTAATTCGTCCTAGAAAAGCATGAAAGTCAGGGGAATAATCTACCATATGTATATCACTGGTACATGAGGGGTCAAAAGAAGTCAACTAGAAGTAACATCGTAGCACAAAGATGAAAACTGCAACTTATCACAAATGCTATGTGATTACAAACATTACAATACACAAGTTTCTAACAGCATCTGCACCACTTCCCATTCACTGAATTACACCTTTGACTACTGCCGCCAGTTAAAATATTTTGCCATCATCTAGGGAGCACCTGACAGCCAACTAGATATTCAGTTGTGACCTACAGAATAAAAATGAAGGAACGTAGATCTGTAACTGAATTAGATCTCAAGTTTGACTGTGCTCCATCAAGATAAAGAAAATAATAAAAGTTCCACAACACAACTCTTCACAGAAATATATGTATGCTAAGTTGCATCAAGTTCTAAAAGTGCTACCACATCCTTCTTGCAAATAGTACGTTTTTTTGAGTTAGTCACTTATGCTGGCAAAGTTGTAAAGACCAGCATGAAACAAACAACTAGAACTAGAGCATGGACATTCAGAGAGTACTAATGCAATATACACATCACTTGGTAATAGCCTTTCAGTATGCACAGACAATTACATGAATGACCCTATGACAATGCTGTGCTGTTCTTTGTTTCTTCATTATTTGCTTCCTTTTTTAGATTTTTGGATTTTAACTTCAATAACATTATATTGAATTTAAATGGTTAACAAACTATTATTAGGATAAAAATATGCTGATAAGAAAGGGAGAAGTTCCAGCTTGCCAATGTCAGCCACTATGTTTCCTGATTTTATTAAGCTTTACATAAATACCTTCTGAGAAATCTAGAGAGGAAGATATCTTGTACAAGTATTGTTAGATATCTGTAACTTCTCTGTTACCTAACCAGGTGGATTGAATTTATGACACGATGCAACAGAATGTTAAAAGAGCACCTATTCAATTTTCAAGCCACCTGTGAAGACTGTTCTTTCAACTATGTTTCTAAACATCTTTTCTGTAAATGTGCGTCATAAAATATTCATGGACCTGTAGTAAGACTTACAAACTTTATTACAACTTATTACACTTATAACCTACAGTACTCCTGTATAGCACTGTAATAATAACAAATAACTCAAATGTGTGACATACTCAATTTTCAGATAATCCACTGCTAGATCCTTTTTTTCTAAACTTTTCAATATTTTGTAAGTGATCATATCAATATTGCTTCACAGATATAAATAAAATCATATATGTTTACACACACACACACAAGCAGCCAGTCAGCTACAAAATTTTTTTAAATTGGGAAATTACCACATCCTAGAAATTCTATGAGGTTTCTTACATACATCAAAGACTATAAATATAATTATAGGCTACCACTGATTTCAATATATCTACAATATATCACAATGATTCAATCAAGGATGACTTCCACAATGCTCCAAAAACATTGCTAATCCGTCATATTCAACAGCAGTATAGGTGTAGGCTTCAGCAGAAGTATGAGGTGTGGAATCTGGCACAAGAACAACAGGCTCAATTCCAGCATAAGAAGAATTGCAAGACTACGTTGAGTAGTTATATTCAAATCTCATACAAATGTTGGTTTTCCACTGCTGTCAATAGAAAACATAATCTAAGGATGTAAATCCCAAAAGTTACAGACTGCCACAAACAGATTTTCTTTGACTAACATTGTCGTTATTAAAAAAAAAAAAAAAAAGAACAAGCTTGCTATAATGACATTTTAATTAAATCTTACAGAACCTATTTTACCACATAACATTTTCATTTTACTTCACAGAAGCAATATATTTTCCCATTTGTGTAGACTGTTTCTCCCTCACCCACTGTACATTGTGATACCAAACTAATTCTGGATCAGAGCCTGCATACATGCATATGGTTAACTATATTCACATAACTCTTGTCATTGATGTAAGCACACTCAGAATGAAGTTAAGCAAATGCACGAGTGTTCCAAGATCCAAATTCTCTGGTTGAAAAAGCCTTGGAACTAGGACTCTGACTGATACAGCTGAAATTCCATGTAGTGGTCTTTTATGAAAACAACAGATTGCCTTCTTAAAAAGCTTACATTTGCCACCATAGAAACTGGTATAAAAACCCATCACAACAAAATTCCAAAATTGAAGGTTTCTCACTAAGCAACAATGAAAATATAGGATGGTAGAGAGCTCGTGAGACATAAGATGTACGAGGACTGTGATAATCTATTCTTTGCAGCTTACCTTGATAACATAACTCTTTGAAATAAATATAATGAGGGAGACCGTGTACACTTCCTTGCAGTATTTCAAGTATAGTATATAGACACACAGGAAAGAATGTCCTTTACTCTGAAAGATTTTAAAATAATAAAGAGACCTCTCAAAAAATCTTTTTCAGAGAATTGGACTTAGTCTGCAAACAAATGAAGCATGAAGGAAAATCCTTGATTTATTATCTTACTGTTTGAAATAGATCAATGTACAGTGAAAATATGTCTGCAATTATTTGTTATAAAGTTTGAGAAGTTGTTACAAACAGCAGTTTCCAAAATTTTTATGATGTAGAAGGGAAATTAAAGGTTACCTAGGAGAAATATCACTAAGTGATGGCAAAGTATTGAAAAAAATGCAACTACCAATACAGTGAAATTCCCTCCTGTGCTCCTTAACACCAATTACAAAGTCTAATACCTAAAGTCTTAGGTGGAGATAGATTAAAATAATTCAGGTAGAAGAAACTGGACAGAAACAGGCCACAAAGTTAAATCAAATCTAAGCTATAGGAGTATGCTCCTTTAGTACAAGAGGCAGGTACATATCTACCAAACACCATTCCTGACTTATACAAATATTTCAAAATTAATCTTTAAATTAGCCTGTGAAATTGATTTGCTGATGTTTAACAGAGGCACAACTGCTTGCATTTCAGCAACATGTTCCACCCAGATACAGAAAAATGAATATCATTTCATGGTAGGTAAATACAATGCAATACTACACATCAAGGAAGTACAGCATCAAACATGTCACCTTTATCTGTTGCAGGTAATCAGATTCCATTTCTTCTGCTAAGTGTAGGTAGAAAGCTATGTGATTCTTTCTAATCCTGGACTAACTCTAACCTAAGGGACTGCAGTTTGACAGCTAGTATTGTTTTATGTATATGTATTCCTACACACTGGGACTCAGGGAACAGAGCACTCATTATTAAATGTGACAAAGAGCAAATCTTAAAGCATGACTGGTAGTTAATATATTCACCACAATTACCAGAAATATGCTCAGAAAGAACTATCACATAAGAAGCTTTCATTTCTGTTTCTGATCATTCAAAATCAAAATAGTTCAACATAGTAACAGAACAGTATGAAATGGGGCAAATAAAAAGGTTTTCAAAATTCAGTTTGCTGTCAATTAAAAAAACTTGCAATTTTAAACAGTTATATTTTGCCCTAATTGAAAAATATTACAATTATATTTCTATTGCATAAAAAAATCTGATACATTTGATTTAGAGGTACTAGAAAATGCTAGAGAAATTGCTTCCCCTCAGCAAAGAACATCTTACAATTTAAATATGCAAAGTCACAGAGTTACTGGAAAAGTAAAATAGGAATGAAGCTAGGTATCTGCTTTATGTACATCACAATAGTGACTTTTTTTTCCCCACAATGAAGTAAATGAAGCAATCATGAATTTTAAGCATGAGTGTTTTACTGGCATTATTTATTCCTAATGTCTTTGTAGAATACCTTTGAAAAAAAGTTTTCTTAAGCTGTTTTTTTTTGCCAAACTTCTAACAATGTTCTAGTAATAAAATCTAATTATCTCTTTATCTGTTTTGTTGTCACTGTTAATGAAAGAAAAAAAGGAGGTAAAAAGAAAAAAGTTTCAAATATTATACAAGAATGCATCTTGAGGTTTCACAGTAGCATATTAAATCAGAACAGTAAGCAAGATGTTATTTTCCCCCAGGCACGGGGGCTCATTTTGCTGACAGAAACAATCTAAAACAAATTTCTACCCAAGCTCTGTAGTTCCAAGCTCTGTAGTTAAACAAGAAGGGATTTATCTGAAGAAAATACATTCTAGAGAAGGAAAGACAGCAGAGGCTAAGGTACACTAGCATAATAAGTGCATAACAATAATAAGGTAAATTCAAAGAATGTGAAGTTAACACCTGTGGCATATAACTAAGATAAATTGAATACAAAATAAAAATTAAAAATACACAGCTCAGCTGAAATGATAACAAAACGGATGTCATGATGCTTACTAGAATTACACATCACTGTGCAGTCTATTAACAGTTTCCAACTGTTCCAACTGTAAACAATGAGATTACATAAGTAAGTTATACGCTGTTTATTCTCATTGTTGAGAATTTTTGCTCAAATTTCAGTAATATTTTGAAAGTCTGTAACTAAAACCGTTTTTTTTTTTTCTCCTCTGCAATGATTTGTTATTGCAGGACTAGCTTTCAACCGCTGAACTACTAACCGATACTTAACATGTTTTGTAGGGCTTGTAAAGCATGAAGGAGTGAGAAAAAGTACAGTGCTACAGGCATATTAATCTTAAAGGCCTCTGTCATTACACAGTTGAACTGTGCCTAGTAACATGTTGTGCTCTGAAGGACTGACTGGCTCTCCATATTCATATCTTCTTGAAAACCTAGCTTATTTTAACATGACACAAAATTAATCTATAGCCAAAAGGTTCTAATGCTCTTCCTCATGACACAGACATGGCACAAAAAGACTATTTTTCTTTTAATTCTACAAGACATTAGTTCATATACCAAAATCCAGAATAAACCTTACTTCTCTAGAAGTGTGACAGCTTTGTCTACAAGGAATGTGAAATAAGACTTATTACAATAGTGCCTGAAACTGTGAGGCTTTAACCAAATCTAAAACATAAATCAACAATAATAAGGAGAAAAGAGCTTCCATTCAAATAAAAGTAAAAATCTTGATTCCGATATAAAATATTATACATTTTAATATAACTTTTTCCTGATTTATGTAAACCTTTGTGTTCTTCATTTTCCCTAGCCTGCCACTTTTTAGTGATATATGATGCATTTTAGCATTAAGTGTGCCATAAGCAAGAAAAGTCAGGACCCCCAAAGAAATATTAATATCATAATGTAGACCCCACCACGTGTGTCCAGATTTTCAATTATTCTGCCTATTTGGGTTTATTTCATGTAGTTAGCAGACATTCAGATTCTCCTCACATATACTTACCATTTTATATCTGAAAGAAGTCTCAAATTAGAAACAAGAAGGATAAAATTCAATTTACTTTTTATGGGAACAGTGAGGTTACCATACAAGAAAAAAAGTACTGATTTTATCTGCATGGAATGATAAGATTAGAAAAGGTATCGTGCATAGGGAAAAAAAAAAAAAAAAAGAAAAAGAAAAGAAACATCCCTTAAGAGAGATGAGATGTAAATGAAACTGTAATAATTGTAATAACATTCAGTAACAATCCCTTCAACCAGAAGAAGTTCAGTGATTGGCAAAGCATAGAAAGAAATGGGGAAGAACTAAAAAAAGATGACTGCAGTAGTGGCAGGAAGATCATCTTCAACAAAGTTGAAGCATTTAAAAATGTTAAGGAGTAAGAAAAACATATTTTATCTGCAAAATAATGAAGAGAAAAATAGAAAAGTGTATATAGATATGAATAGGTATATATAACAAAAACTAGAAAAAGTACTTTCTCATCTGATTTTCTTAGCTCATGTGTAATTTTGCAACATCCAAATCACAGGAGTTCCTATTCTTGTTTTCCATATTCCATTGAATCAGGAACTATTGAAGGAATCCCTGTTAATTACTGACAATTCTTTCAAGCTCATTGATCAGGATATCTTCTCTACAATGTTTTAAAGTCAATCATTAGATGTAACTTCCATACAGAAAAGATTAAACAAGCAGCATGTTTAATACTTGAGCACTAGGGGCTCAGGTTTTAGCATCATCTGCACCACAACAGAAACAGCATGAAGAGATCCAAGCAAATCAACACTGTTCTTACAGTTCCTAGTACAGATGCATTCTACTCTGTGGCTGGCTGTATGATGCGGGTTACGTATCTACTTGACTGCACCATGCTGTTTGAATATCTTAAGGTTTCAAAATGAAAAAAATGCTACACTGATATATTACCTTCATTCATTCATTCATTCATTCATTCATTCATTCATTCATTCATTCATTCATTCATTCAATAAGAAAGCATTTATATTGAGTTTTTCATATATGATGTTCTGAAATTCAACTAAATATACACATCTTTATTTCAAAGAACACAAATAAGAAGATGTAACTTACCTTCAAACTATGACAATGCAACACAAAAAACCATGCATATAGCTTTAAAGGGAGATGACATTTGGAATTTACTTGCCTTATCCTCCAGGTGCATTTCCAGAAAATGAAGGTAGGCCACAGGTGCAAATGCATCAGCTGAATGCATAACCACTTTTGCAGAATCTCTGAAACGCAAAGTTATCAGAATCATATATATTAATGTACAAGATAACCAGTTGAGAATCTTTTTCTTTTTTTTTTTTTTTAAAACAATGAAGAAAGTTTTTGCCATATAAAATCTTCTGTTGAACATCATGCTATCTTCACTAATTTTCAAAAGGAATAATCTATAATTCCAGATCAGAATAAAGATATTTAGCTAGATATAGCCTATGCAATCATAACTGACATTACATTTTGCATTCCAGAGACTAATAAGTAATGCAATCTTTTCATTTTATCAATGTGAGATTTTTGAAAGTCTATTTTTCATCATTATGCTCCAGGGACTAGTTCTTCAAGTATTAACACCATGCAATATTTCATGCTGAGAAATTGACTGATTTGACCATCTTGCTTCTTATACTGAAGACTACTAGACACAACTTTTTAATGCCAAATGTGTTGGTAGCAATGATAAACTTACTGTGTGCTGATTCAAATTAGTTAATTGTAGCTTTTATTTTTACAGACACAATCTGTCATGTTTTGATTCAAAAGAGGCTTTATCTGTTCTAGCCATCTGCATGGCTTTACTACTTAAGCAAAAGGTAACTCTAGGAAATAAACATCAGAAAGTGAGAATCTCAGATGCCTTACAAGAAAACCTGAAAATTCCTATAAGAAATGCTGAAGACATACAGATAATTTTCTTGAAGTCACAGTGCTGTTAAAACTTCACAGAATTCAATGAGTTTGGCCTGGGGATTCCAAACAAGATTTCTGGTAATGCCACATGCACACTGGAAACAGCTGAAGTTACCCATATTTCACTGATTTAATGAAAGTGTAAAATTAACAGAAATATCTGCTTTTTAAAATGTGGCTTAGGATTTAAAATCCAAACTCCTTAATGCAATCACCATCACTATATTGTACAATGCACCATTAGCATAAAAAAATTCTACTTCACTTTTAATAAGTTTTAATTTCTTGATGATCAAGTCTATAGCTTCATTCTTGAGAGTTACTACCAAGACTTTTAAGATTGAAATATCACATTCTTTTAGGACTTCTTAAAGATAGTCTCTTAAGATTAAAGTAATTCTTTTCAAATGGTCACAGTGCCTACTAATTCAAATAGGAATTTTGTAAGTGGATAGAATCTCACTTTGGAAATTTTTAGTATAGGAGCAGGTTGATCATAAAAACATACTTTGATATAGCAATGATATCTGGTATCTGTGTATCTCCAGTGTCTGAAGATAATATCTTAATAACCACTGCTTGCTGTTGAAGGGAACAACAGCAATGGAGAAGTCCAGTACCATTGAGTGATGCAGTAGTTACTTGAAATTTCAGAAAAGCTTATGTTCAAAGTTAAAAAATAATATTTTAGGGTTGTTTAGTGTACAATTTTGTACAATTTAAATGCCTAGTAACTTATAAAAAATACTTAAAAAATACTAAGAAGTATACTTCTAAAAAATATTACAAAATAAAAGAAGCCATATTCCCACATGTACCAATTCAACAGTGCAGCATGCATGCTAACCAATGATGCTTGTGCTAGCAATTCTACAACTGTGGAACTTTTTAGATTTGTTGCTCAAGAAGTAATATAAACAGTAACATTTCTACTAAGAATGAAATGCATTCCTGAAACAGACAGTTAACACATGCATGGCACCACAGTAGGTATTTGGTTTAAAGTGCTAATATTTCTCAATTGATGGCTCAAAATAGGTAGATTACGTGGTTCTGAAAGTAGTATTACAACATATATAAAATATTCTTCTCCAATTAAATCATTTTCTATCAGCCTCTCAGAACATACATATTTGTTTTAACTGATAAAATGTACTGTATTGTTCAATACTAAACGTAACAAACATGTGGAAACTGTAAGAGTTTTGTTATCAATAAGAAGTCATCAATTCAAAACACAGGAAGCCCTTAACTTGGACATTATGTATGGCTTAGGAGATAGTAAAAGATGTAAGTAAATAATTAAACAACATCAATAGCAGAGAGCTTAATATAAAAAAAAAAACAGTCACTTGAGAGGTTCTGAAAATTGTAAGAGAAGTCCATCTCATACTGAAAGTCATAGTTTTCCTTAGGAACATAACTACATTGTGACAGAAGAAGAGGAATTTTGTTAAGGAATATTTTCAGAAGACTTTAGAAAACAACAAAAATAATAGTTTGAAAAACTGTCCTAATTGTCTGATCCCTCAAATCACCTTGAATACCTGGAAAATTACTTTAAAACAGAATAATATTTTCACAAAACAAATACACATTAGGGCAAGTCTTCTTTGTCATTTTTTTTCTCAAGTTTACATATTTAGTTTTGATTCTAAACCTAATCACAGGGCTAATGACAAAGCAATCTGTAGAATTATACTTCCAAAACATTTTCAACATATCAATTTAACTTAGAAAGAAAACAAATTGAAGCATTCTGCATTCCATACATACTAATGGGCCTTTATCATAACATTAGACAATAGATAGCCCTCACATAGACAAGAACTATATGATTTCTAGAGGTGTCAATCAATTGCACTACAAATTTGAATGTAATGCCAGACAGGAAATGCTTGGTATCTCTTAAATATTGAGCATAAGAAAGATGACAACAGACATTCTGGTAAAACCAGGTAAAACCCATCTGACTCCTGGTTGAGTATTTCTATTGTAAGATCTTTGTTTCTCCACTAAATATTGTTTATTTTCAAATATTTCAGTCAATTTGGCATGCTTGGTTTGCAAGGCATGTCTTTAAATGAAAATCGAATGGTTTTGCAATACTGAATTTAATATTCAAAAGCAAAATTAACCACATAGTCTTACATTAAAACAACTCCCACTTCTCCATAACTGACATATAAAGGTTATTTTCTTCCTGATAGAGCAGATTTCCTTTTTCAAAGATGACAATGTGAAAACACAGTCACAAGTTTCGTGTGACAAAAGCAGTAATCAGTGAAAATGCTACCAAAAAGTAACATTGTAAATTATGGGCATATTAGATAAGGTTTTGATGTGGGAAGATGCAGGGATGCCTTTTGTGAGAACTGAACTGTGCCCAGGTCCAGCTGGCTCCAAAAGGGACGCTATTACTGGCCAAAGCTGAGCCCATTAGCTACTCAAGTAGATCCTCTAAATAACTCATTTAAGAAAGGATAAAAAATGTTGAACAGCAGCTGTGAGAGAGGAGTGAGAAAAGACATGTGAGAAAAACAGCCCTGCAGCCACCAAGATCAGCACAGAAGGAGGTCAGAAAGTGCTCCAGATGCAGAACAGAAGTACCCTGTAAACCCACAGTGAAGCAGGTTGCTCCCCTGCAGCTCCAGAGATGGCAGACAGAGCAAATCTCCATATGCAGACCGTAGAGATGAGTCTGTGCAGGAGCAGTTGGATGTGGCCTGAGAAAGGCCATAGCTTGTGGAGAGCCAAAGCAGGAGCGGGTTCCTGGCTGGAGCTGCAACCTATTAATTTTAATTGAGCAGCTCACTGGTGCAGTTCATTACCCTTTCCCAAATCAAGACTGCTTTGCCCATGATGGTCTCAACTAAGCCATCCTTCCGCCCTTATTTTGTCGCATAAGCTTTTGCACCTTATTTTTTTCCCCTGCAAAGTGAGAGGGTAGCTTGGTGAGCATTTGCCAGCCAGCCAAAGTTAATACACTGTAACTGTTATATAGGAAAGAATAATCTCCAATGTCTTCCACAGAGACTTACACTAGCAAAATGTTTCTAAGGAATTTAGGAACCTTGAAAAAATTTGTACAGGTTTTATTTAACCTCTAGCTTGTAATTCTTACAATGCCATTTAAGCTTAAAAATAATATCAGGATGTATATCACAACCATGGCTATTTAAACATCTGGAAACTACCAGCCTAACAACATGATTACATAGTCTGTTTTGATTCACCCAGTGAATATGAGAAACAAAAATAAAAACTAAGTAAAGTTGTAAAAACAACTCATAAATAACAAATGATTATCAGCAATGTTTAATGAAAAAGAAACTACAAATATTATTGTAAAAGCTCATAATAGATTTTTACATGAATGGCCCTTAAAAGGTATGCTTTTATAACAAAGTAGGAGAGAGCTAAGCAGTCCTAATTAAGCCTGAGAAACAAAATGTCAGTGTACCTATTCAGTTTCGACTATAGAAATGTACATTTAGAACTAGCTTGAGTAACCGTTTAATCTATTTCAGGTGTGCAAAAGGACACCTTTTCTAAGGATCTTTCTAAAGGAATACTGGGGAATTGTATATCTAATTCTAACGGAATAACCAGGTTTAATCGGAAACAAAATATAGTTAATAATGTAAACAATAAACTAAACAAATGTAAGCCAAAAACTTAAATAAGCGTATTTCATTTATCAGTTATAACCTAGCTACCTTCTTCTAAAGTATACATTTTGTTGCAAGTGTTGCAATACAAATACTGAACAGGCCACAGCTAGTAATGGGTATTATTTCTCAAACAAAATGACAATTTCTCAGAATTCTGTCTCTGATACCCACTGGAATTGATAAGACTTTATCACTTCAGTAGAAATCGTATGAGACATTAAATGTAAAAATGAATATCTCCAGACTCAAATTATCTAGTTTTTTAGTTGACTACGTAGGACATATCATGCAGTCAACCAATATTTCACCTCAGCATACTTCCACTATAGCAGTTTCTAAACCTTTCCACATTTTATCTATTGCTCTTCCTGTCCCTGTAATGAAAGTCAAACAGTTGCTGGTTCTCTGCTCTATACAGATACCAGTGGTATGGAAAAATGAAACAAATAGATCTTCACTGTGGAAGCTTTACCATATATGAACAATAATCATGACCTTCCATAAGACGACCATCATCAGTACATGATTACTAATCTGTTTACTTGGCTAAGAAAAGGAACATCAGTCGAAACATCTCACTCAAAGCAAGCAAACTTAGCTATTTAACAGACTAAAAAGAAACTTACAACAAGAGTCAAAGATTATTCATACCCCACTACACAGATTTCAATTTATTTCAAAGAATAAGCTACTCAGTAAATACTAGATGGATTCATCCTATGTTTATTTTTAAAATATCCTCTAATAATGGAAGAAAAATGTTTTCGTTATCATTCTAAGCTGCTAAACTTACACACACTCACTTGCGCACACACACACGGAGTTAATGGAACCCACAGGCTACTGATGTGGCAGTTTATCAAATGTAGCTGTAATGAAAGATAAATATTACAGGCAATTCACACTTCATGAAAGGATAAAAGTGTCAGTGTGCAGGTACCAGTTTTACTGCAGGCCATAATCAGCAAGTAAACGAAAGTGCAAATGTCTAAGAAGTTTATAGCTTTCTATGAAGGCCTCGTCTTGTCAGGTATTGATTTAGGTTTTCAGAGGACTTGGCCAGTGTTAAACAAAGTGAGTATTTGTGAACTTAGAGGATGTGTTTTTCACTCTGCCAACAAAAGCTGCCTCAAGCTAAATGTGAAAATGCTCTCATTGCTTTAATATAAGGAAATGGAAGAAACTATTCCTTACACAACTATTTTCTTCTTAAATAGAGGGCAGTCCAGAGTGAATGTTTCATATTCTCCACCTTCTCCGCAAATGTGGACACCATATTTCTCAGAAACCTAATGCAAAAGAAAAAATTTAAACATACAGGTATTACAGTAGAGCTAGAGCACTAAAAATAGATTTTGCTGATAAATTCAGTTTGTATCTTCTAAAAGGCCACTCATTAAAATAATAAAAAAGACCCTCAAATATCACACAAAAGATTCTTGATTTCTTTGTATCACAATGATCTATGAAATACCAATAAATATAATTTGTGATACATTTTAAGTAGAATTGGTACTGCAGTATTCAGATAAACAAATCAAATCCTGATTATTCTTCCACAAAAGACTAGAAAGTTTGTTCAGGCACACAAATCTGGTTCTATCCCTTTGGCAGAGATAGTTCACTTCTGCGAGAAGCTTGTGCTGTAAATCAATACAAGATGTAGCACTTTACATAGCAGTGTACAGCAAATAAAATTTCTGGCAACAGTTAACAACCGCTTCCATACTCTTGTAAATAACTATCTTGTTCTCAAAAATTCTCATGAATTGAACTTTCCAAGTCAAAAGCAAAAAGGAAAAGCAAAAACTGAATTTGTTGCTTCCATTCCTTATCATACTAAGTATGGTCTCTAAGCTGATATATTTATAAATATTCCTGAAGCTCTGGGAATCACATTAAAACAGATAATTGCATAATTCAGTAAATTTCAAATAAGAGACATGGTTTACATCAATGACTGTAGAACATGAACCAAAGTTCATTTGTCTGCGTAAGAAGAATGCAATTGCTGAACAGTTCATTCCAATTCTACATTTACTGTGTCAGTAGGTAGTAATCAAGCAACTGCATCATGCTATAAGCACAGACACCCCACCTCCATTTTCCCTGCAGGAAAAACTCCGATCCTGGTTATAATACATTTATTTAAATTCAGTTAGTTAAACAAAAGGCCTAAGTCCTCTTCAATTTTTTTATATTATTGAAGAAAAGGATAACAATCTGAGAAAACAATACCTTGATAATACTCTATGTGACCTTGTGGTTTAAGGGTTTTTGTAGTGGAAAATCTAAGTCTCCTTTGTAAGAAATGTTACATCTTTTTTTAATGTATTACTATTGGAGACATTTTTCATTTTCCCTTAAATATTGTCTTAAAAAGAAAATGAACAGAAGAAAACCTTTAATCAAATGCTCTTTATAAACTACACCTCTGACACAAGAAAGAATGTATTCTGTCAACAATAGCAAAAAGATTTCTACAGGACAAATACATCAAGAATAATTAATGTTGATGCAATAAGAATGGACAATCTACAAAACACTTAGTCAAAACCTTTTATTCTTCTTCTTGGAGCTTCCATAAAATAAACAAATAAATGAAGCCCTCTAAACAAAATCATAATATAAAATGAAAAAGAGAAACCTGGAGATCTTTCTAACAGTAACTTTTTCCATTATGAAAAGTTGTCACTTTTAAAATCAGTAGTTCTGTTTGTGAATATTAGTACCTGTAATAATTAGAGGCAATACCAAATACTCAAAAAGTGAAAGACAGTTTATTGTATTTGTGATGGAAAATCCACTTTTTCAGTGTTACTGGCTTTAAGATCATGCTTGTCAGCCATTACACTGGGCACTAAAGATTTTTGCAGTTCCCACTAATGTCAACAGGAATTGAGGACATTTGACAGCTCTTACAGAACAGACATTCAATGTATTTCACAAGTGAGTGGTATTTTAAAGATGTTATCAATGACAACAGAAACTTGTCTTCTGATCATTTAGAAAATTAACATTTTTTCAAGACTAATATATTTTGTTTTGCAAGCTGTAAGTTATATTCATAACTAACAACATAGATTCTAATATGAATTTTGCGATTGCTAAGACGGGTCTCAAATGAGCCAGAAAATTAAAAATTACACAACTAAATATACAAGTCCAATTCAAAATCTATAAGAAATATAATGAAGAAATCAACTTCCAGGCTATTCATCTTAACTCAAATACACAGTCAGACAAAGGGTGTATAGAAGAAGAATCCAAACTTTACCAAAGAATGGCCCCTTCTAACTTTGGGTACAACAGACAAAGAGAAAAGCTGACTTTTGTGACTGAAGTTGAGTGATATAAGATAGAATATATGAATTCCAGTGCTTCCTGTCCAAGTGTAGACTTTTTTCCCAATTCAGAAATTCTACGTAACTATAGAAATGCTCTTTACATTCAGAATTACTCATCAAGTTATAAGGCAAGCACACAAATGACTAAAAAATTATTTCTATTAATAGGGACAGAAGTACAGACAAATATTACCATGATATACATTTAGCATTCTATTAATAAATTCCAAGGAGAGGGCAAACAGCCTCAGAGATTTGGCAGGTTGCCAAAAATACTTCAGTGTAAAAAGCTAGGGCTCTTGGTATGCAAGAAATAGTCATACAAAAAAAAAAAACAATTTAGTAATAATGTAGCGACCATTCCTCAGTAACTAAGTTCTTATAATTTAGAAAAAAATTCAGGAACTTTTCTTGCCATTGTCCTGAACCAATACTCATGATGAAAACATAGATAGCAGATCATTATTGTACTTACAAACTCAACCTCCTGCATGGAATGAGAAAAATATTGCAAATCTAATTTAAAGTTCTTCCCACCTAACACTTCACTTTTTTCCCCCCACTCAATACAATCAGAAGACTGAAAATTTAGGCAGCAATTTATTTCTCCCCGAAGTTAAATAATTCCATGAATGAAATCAGAGCTCTTTTTCTCTTTTAATTAACATTGACACTGATCAGAACAATAAAATTTGTTTCTCCTCCTTCCTGTAAATTGTAAGCACCTCGCTCTCACATTCTGTCTACCAGGATTTCTGATGTTGAACACTTCATTGGGTTGCATAGCAATTTTTCAAATCAGAAACCTCTGCAGTTTATAGTTACTGATTTGTTTTTATCACTCCTTAAATCCAACAAAACATCCAGAAAAGGCAATTTACTTGTACTTTGACTTTCATAGCATGCAACGCAGAGGAAACTGCACAGGGATCAGTTCTGCAGTCTCCCTGACAATGATCCAATAAACAGTTACAAATACTCAGCCCATGAGCTCTATGCTTTTCTTCCCAAAGCCCTCCCTCATTCCACTGGGAGTTGGCAGTGAGCAAAACTACATACTAAAAAGAGAAGGAAAAATAGTAATGACTAATTTTTTTTTCCCTCCCGAAAACAGTTGATGCACCATGCAGTTTCTCACCGTTTGTTGACTGCTGGCCAGCCAGTACGCCTCAGCAGCTGCTGCCCCCTCAACTCCTCACACCTTTATTGTTCATCATGATGCCATATGGTATGACACATTCCTTTGGCCAGTTTGAGTCACATGTCCTAGTTCTGTCCTCTCCCAGCTCCTTCTACTCCCCTTGCTGGCAAGGCAGGTGAGGTTCAGATTGGGTATTAGGAAAAGGTACTTCACCAGAGGGTGCTCAGGCACTGAAAATGGCATCCTAGGCAGTGGGTTAGACACCAAGCTGCCAGAGTTAAAGAAGCATTTGGACAACACTCTCAGAAATAGGGTCTGGATTTTGGGTGGTCCTGTGTAGAGCCAGGAGTTAGACTTGCTGATCCTCATGGGCCCTTCCAACTTGGAAAATTCTGTAGCCCTCTGAGTCTTTGGCTCTTTACAGCACCTGCTCAGCAATTACTAAAAGATCACTGTGTTATCAAACTTGTCTTTCTCCTGAAGTCAAAACAACATGGCCTCATACCAGACACTGAATATAATCAACTTTGTCTCAGTTTAAACCTGGACAAGGTTGTTAATTTGCTTGAGGACAGCAAAAGAGTAAGCTTATTTTGTCACAGACAACATACAAAACCACACTTCCAGGACAATTATTCACAGATTGTACATAGCTCAATACTTGATTCTTCTACTTCAAACTCAAAGATGATGTACAAAATCTGGTCTTCTTATTCTTAGTTATACACCTTTTCTTTAAGTGAATATACTAGCTCCATTTATAAGCATTTACATGCTGTGATGACTACATACCCCCATGGACAGAATTTAGTATATGCTCAAGTATATGCTCTTACTCAATTTTGAAAGGCACTTCTGTATGCATTCTGACTACATAAAATATGATACAAAATGTTCAGATGTTGACAGTTACAGAGAAATTTTATATCACATATGATCTTGTCACATCCATTACTTGCTGTTAATTTTTCTGACTTTCTAAAGCATCGCACTCAAATTACAACTTTGCCTATGAGTATTTTTTCAGTAATACAGTAATACCTCCAAAAGATAAGGCTCCATTTGATCCAATGTTTTTCCAAGATGCTTGTCTGGATCTAAACCTGAAAAAAAGAAAAAAAAAAGTTAAAACATGTTTTATGAAGTAACAATATGACTTTCTTTTTCTTTTTTTTAATGTAGCTTGTCTACCGCAGAATTTGTCCCACTGTACCTAAAAAAAAGTTCTATCCTAAAGAAAACCTACTTTGTCATAATTCTTTCATCCCCATCAGGCAAAATGTTTTCGTTTCATTCATCACGCTCATGATGAACAAGGCCAATTATTTTTGTACTGCGTGCCAACTAGATAAGCTGTTGTTTTCCTTCCCTTTCAATAGCCAGCAAAGTAAACACATGAATTCACAGCAATAGATAATCTACACAGAAGTTACCTTCTCACCTCAGAAGTTCAGTTGGAAACTAGAAAGTTTCCTTTCTACACATATGTTAAATTAAAATACAAGTTATCGTAGTTTCTACAAGAGATATGTTAAATTATTGGAAAAGACAAACTTTTCCTTAAAAAACAAAGCAAAACAAAATTTCTCATACATGTCTAACAAAAAAAGGCAAGAATTAGAAATGATGGAGATATAGGGTTCAGATTTACAGCATATCTGAAATGCTTTGCCTTCTGACTCATCACAAAATATTCTATAAGATGTCTATGTATTGATTTACTTTTCCTAGACAAAAAAAAAAGTAATTATTAGCATTTATTAGCATTTAATAGTACCAATACCTTGCCTCTCTAAATTTCTTTCTTCACTTTTTGCCTTTATGAGTTTTGCCAGCTTAGGGCTGCTACATGGTCACTTCTCAAGAATAAAACAAATAATTGGCAGTAATCAGCACTGGGATAAAAAAAACACCCAGGAACCCTATTTCAAGAGCTGACACACTCATCAATGAGTAACCAAATTAATATTCTAGTTAGATTTGAGAGTAAGTGGTCAAAAGGTCTTAACATTCAAAGAAAGAAAAACAGAACGATGACTTCTAAAAGCGAAGGTACACTGAAAGGTTTTCAGTGATCACATTTCCTAGTACTCATCACAAACTCGTCTATTTCTTCCTAGGGTACTACTTTATATAATAATGGTATAATCAAAGAGCTGCCAGCAGAATGTCTCAATTTAGAAGTAATTTCTAAAGCATGTTCCTTGCAAAGCACTTTAGCTCACTGATAATATAAGTTTTTATATAAATGTATGGTTTACTATTAAATAAAGTCTTTGCTGAGTTCAAATAGCTGATATGCCTTTTAATTTTTATAATGATGCTCTTGATATATTTAAATTTCAGTGAAACTAAATTAACAAGATAGAATGAATGAGATTTCAAAACATAAAATTTTTTAAATATTTTATTAAAGTGCATTAAAAATTTCCTTACTATTTGAGGAGACACTTTACAAACTGTTTAATAATTAAAAGGATGGAGGACAGTTTTTCCACCTCTGTTCTTATCTTGGGAGTCATCTACTGCTCTTTATTAACAGAACGAAAATGTTCATTGCTACATAAAAGATAATGTTTCTTTATGCTTGTGAAAATCAATTGAAGATTGATCAAATCAAATGAAGATAACTTCATTTGAATATACTTACTTTGCTCTGAAAAGCTTTTTTTTTTTTTTTTTAAATACATTTCAAAATCCCATCATTGTCCATACTGTACAATCAGGCCAATAGAGCATATTTCTAGCAGGTTATATTTGTTAATCTGCCATATAAAAGATAATGGAGCAAAATGGCAAATAAAGAAAATGTTCATTAAAAACTACCTTTATTCTCAAAACGTACACTATTTCTATGTGTACATACATGTCAGATGAGGCTATAAGCACTGATTAACCCCAAATTGGGTATTGTTTTGTCCCTAAGATTTGGGATGAATATTATTAAATGATTTACAAGATCAACAGCATACAGTCTCCAGTTTGAAAAATATCTTATATCTTCTTTTAATAGGTATGAGTTTGGTTGTCCACTGTTTTTAAAGTCCTTACAATCATTTAGCTGGAGAACCTTTTCTCCAGAGCAAATTTACTCCTCAACTTAAATGATCATGAAGCACATGCAGATATCATGATTAATTAATTGTAGAACATATGCACTTATGGTATACACTGTGGTGAAAGCTGATGTGGCCTACAGTAAACAATTGCAATGACTCTGTTGATGTCTTCCAATGAATACTAGCTTAACATCATGTCCTTGAATTTAATGGAACAGGTGTGAGTAGCATATTATAATACTCTGCACAATACCAGATTAACATTCTCCATTAATATCACTACTTTTCCAAGATAGTTTTATTAAAGAGAGGGACTAACTATTTGATTAAATTTTAACTAAATTCTCACTACAAACAAGTCAGAAAGGAAAGTTGCTAAATCCAGACATACTAATATATTATTTCTCTCCTAATCTCTCTTTGATTTTCAGAAGAATACTCCTCTACTGTTTGCTCCCATTTAATAAATCATAACAAGTAAAAAGAAACTATTATACAAATATCATAGAAAATGCAAATTAATTGCCTGTGTACAGTTTGTAAACTCTACAATAATTATTATCCCTACTTACATGAAAATCTATAGAAGTGCAATGTAACTTTTTCTCTTTCTTAATAGTATTCTACTTTTTGGGTAGCTTGTCCTTCTTTTGAAAAGTATATTTTCCTTTAGTTTTTACTAAGTTTGCATTGTGAGAAAATAATCTGCTAAAGACATCAAGAACCAATATAACCAGTAGCTCACAGAATCAGTAATCCAAATTCAAATTGCAAATAACGGTGTACACACACAGTGTACACTTACTGCTAAAGTAAAATAAAGTATATTACCATACTTACAAGCCATATTTAACAAGCAGTTAATAAACATTGGTCACTCTGAAGGTAATGCCTCCCATTTATTCCCATGGAAACTACAACAGATACCAAAAGCACAAGAATACTATTTGATAGAGCAAATTGTCAGCTACAAAACATTATTTTTCAACACAATCACCACCACTAACTGCATTTTTGCCAGAGATGAACAAAAGCCTGCATGCCACACCCCTAAAATCTGCGGAAGTGATCCATTGCTGTGGTCACCACTGCAGAAATGGCACCAGTCACTGCCTCGTTGTGCTCACATGCACTGTTTGATCTCCATAAACATTCAGCAAGTGTTTATGAATGTAAATGGGTGATGTATGTTTCACATGTAGGAATTCAATGACACATCTTTGCTCCAGACACACTTCATCGATGTCATTTTATCAGACTGTCACTTTGTTGCCATATTTTATGTGGCAAAAAAATACAGCAAAATATTGGTGGGAAGATTCAGCCTCTACTGTCATAGTACCAACATCTCCCTCTGGCACTGAAGGCCATCATAATAAAATAGGAGGTAATACTTTTGGAGCAGCCTTTGTAAATTCATTCTTCTATTTTGTATGTTGTTTTTTTTGTTTGTTTGTTTTTAAAGAAGGAGTAGATTGATTGAGACACTTAAAACAACTTAGACTATAAAGGAAAAAAATATTGCAAATTCTCAGAATATTCAATTTAACCACATCCTCCAGACTTCTCCATAAAGCTAGCCAGGAAGAAAGCTGGATGGATGGATAAACCAACAACAAGGTTCGGATCTGGATGACTGTTGTAAAATGAATAAATTAGTTAGGAAGAGAACTGTAATTTGTAGCACTGACATCTATTTCACTTAACTTGCATGTATCAATGGGAAGCAATTACAATTCAATTAAAATATTCACTTTTATTACTTTACTGACTGACCTTGAAGTTAATGCCTGCTTTATTTAATTGCATCATCTATGAATAAATGTTAACCCTAGAATGTTATGCCCCATTATTTTCAAAGCATTTTAACTCCCCAACTGAATTACATCAGTCAATTTATAATGTCTTGTCAAGAAAGCAAGTTGGGCTTTATTTCTCTGCGATAGATCAGTACATGACAACATAAACACTTTGCAAGATTTGCTATTTTTAGCAGTACCCAGTAAAACAAGCTTTGCTTTCACCTCAACTTTTGTTTTAATACAAAATCAGTTCATGATAGTACAAATTGTATAATCATTTCAAATTAATGTGTACTCCATCTGCAATTACTGACAAATCCACTGACAGGAACAGAATTCTTGAACCTATCAACATTTGCAGAACTCTTGTGCACAGTCACAAGACACATGTTGTAGAGAATTGCAGCAACACAAACACCAGGGCAGAAATTCAGGGCTTTGTTTGGTAGTGAAAAAGATCTATAAAAAAATGTTACTAAAAGGCATTTTGTTGATGTTAAGTTACTTCCAAATGAGCATAGTGAAGGGGAACTACGTGGTACCACTTGCCTTTTTCACAGCCATTAAAAACATATCAAGTTCCATTTTCACATTTTGAGTAAATAATGATTAAGTAATGATTAGTTTTAAGAAAGAGTGGTGCATAAATTATTTCTTACAGTTACACTGAATCGATCTGTAATTTTACTAGTTGGAACAGAGACTGTAGGACTACTGTTGAAGATAAAATCCTATACCTAGTGTTCAACAATTTTTTTCTAAACTAGGTTAATCTGATATCATCAAATTTTAAAATTCAAAAGGTAAAATTTTATGAGATAAAACTCTTCATACTAGCAATATTAATTTTGTCTGTAATCTCTTGTGAGTTCTTAACAAAGTTATTTGTATTCTATTTACATTCAGGTTTCAAAGCAACTTATATTTGTTTCAGAAATAAAAATCTCAGTAATTCTGTCAAGAAATTTTGTATTAGTGGAATATTTTTACATGTACTTTTAAAAGTCTAAAAGGTTCATAGTTTAAGAAGACATTGTGGAAGAAGAAAGGATAAACTGTTGTTTTCAACTCCATTTTTCTTCTCTGATCTTTCAGAACAAGATGTTATATAGCAAATAGTTCAGCGTGCTGAAAACACTGCCCCAACTAACTTCCCTTCAGGAATCTCCATGAACTTCAGAGACATTACAAACTCGTTTCGTACTTCTACTAATGTATGGTTTTCCTCATAGAAATCTGTTTTCAGAGTTTTTAAACTTTGGCATACTGAAATGTTTTGAGGAGAATTAGTTGTAGGTACCAGCTCTAAACATGTTTTTTTTTATTTTATTACTTTATTTCATTAAAAGAGCTCAACTGCCATAGTTGGGATTTTTTTTTAAAAAAAGTTCTTCTTTCCTTGATAAAAGATTCTGAAATTTCTGTGCTTTGAACATTTGTAGTGCTATTAAGCTTAGAAGAAAGGAATTAAAAATTGATTCTGTGGCATGAACAAGTGCTTGAATTTGTTTCACTGTCATTAAAGTCATCCCACACAGACAATTTATAAAATGTTTAAGATGCACAGCTCCCAGATAAATCAACAGGGACTTCTGGAAGAGCAAACTGATAGACTGCCTGCAAAAGGGCAAAAGCTAGAACAGAAATGAAGAATCAATTTAGACAAGCACACATAGGAACCTGGAAAGTATCACTGGCTCTACACACATACGTATTTAAGGGTTTGAGCTTAAGCTCTGTTTCAGCACCAAATCTGTGTTGCAGAAATGTATTGAAAACAAATATTCCTCTTAAAACATCAAGGAAAACTACAATTGTTGAGGACAAATTGCTCTAACTTCATGACATAAAATTAATTTCAACTGCACTAACAGAACTGAACTTCTGTATAAATGGCACTTAAGTTTTAGTGTCAATTCTTGTCTCTGCAAGAATTAGACATAGTTAAATGATTTAAGTAAATTAAAAATAGATAAAACTCTATTCTCAGTTTTTACTGAGGACCATACCGTGAAGAACCTTAAAATTCCTTCTAAATATAACCTTCCTCTTCCTCCTCCTTCTCTCGCTTCAAGTTGAGTATTAGAGCTTTTGCTGCAGTAGAAGTTTTAGAACCTGGTATAGTTAGAAGCAGTACATAATGTTACCAAGAATAAAAATGGAATCTGTCACATGCAGATTCTACTAGCTAATTGTTGTTTTAATCCACACAGCTTGTCCATAGAAGAAGGATGTCAAAACTGCATCTTATGATTGTGGTATAGTACACTGTCTCACACAAGCAATGGATATTTCTGGAACTTCAAGTGCACAAATACACATTATTCTATCTAGTTTTATTTTAACTATTATTGAATGAACTCATTCTAACTTTCTGGGACTTCCACTGAAGGGAGATATATTTCAAATACAAAAATATCATGCATCACACAGGCATCTTCAACAACAAAAAAGAGGCAGTGCGTACAGATATGCAGAGCAATCCTTTTTTTTTTTTTTTTTTTTTTTTTTAATTGCTTAGGTTTGTGTGGAGTATTCTTCTCTCATCATTAGAGCCTCCAAAACACACTCAAAAGGAAAACAAGCTAATGTACTTATCAATCTACAGGAGGCATGTGAAGAGGTCTTGCTGACAATACTCTTCTTGCATGCAAGTGAGAGCAATTGGTATTCCATCTGGAAAAGCACACTATTCTGAGATAGAAAACTCTTGCCACTGGCAAAGTTTATGGTATTAATTTGTAATGGTGGATTTAAGGAAACATACTAAACTAATATTCATTTACTTGCATAATTATGCGTTTTCTACATAAACCGACAGGCTTTACCTTGCCAATACTGGCACTGAGTTAATAGAAAACAGGACAAGGTAGGTGTACATGTATGCCAGCTCTGATGAATGTCAAGCTCAAGTTACTGATTTGCTTCTTGAATTAACATCTGTACAGTGTACAAGCTAATGCATTACCCTTCAGAGTATTAAATCTGCTATTTTTAATATTTTCATTGCAGTTTAGCTTTGATTATTAATCTGAGAGGCAAAAAGTTAAACTGTATCTTAACTTCTTTGCCACTTGATATATTAAACAGCCTTCATACCTTAAATTCACTTTAATAAGGCATGCAATTATTAAAGCATTACAGAATGGCCCCAGAGCACACAAGCTCCATTAAATTTGCTTACATCCAATTACATTTGCCTGAGGCAGGTGAGAAATTGACTCTGATAAGATCTTTCTTTTACCTGTAGCCAAAAAAAAAAAAAGGAAAAAAAATTTCACAGTCATTTTCTATCTAATTGCTATCTACAAGTATTTATGGCATTTGCTCCTCAAACAAATAGTCAACAAAGGACTCATTGAGAACTAACAAGTCTGTTTTAAGTTTCTTTTTCTTTTAAAAGGCTGCAGAATACAAAGGAAAAGCTAATCTTGCTTCAGGGATGAGGCAATAATGTCTATTTGTGAAGCAGTTTTATCTCTTGTTTAAATCACCTGTTTTCTTTAATATATTTTAGATAAATTATAAACAGTACATACTTGTTCCATTTTGGGGCCATTGTTTGTTAGCTTATTTTTCCTAATTTGTTCCCTTTAATTATATAAAATAGCCTAAACTCCATGAAATATAATTTTGATCAGAAAAAGCACACTGCATATTCTTGCTGTCATACCTTTTTAATTCTTCAGATTAAGGAATGTAAGTATTTTATTTTACAAAAAATAGAACAACTATCCAACCTAAAAAATTTTACATGGCTTGAAATTTTTATTCCCTTAAATTTCTTTTTTTTTTTTTTTTAAAGAAGTGTAATACAGTGGAAAACAAAGCATTTAACTCCGATGGTCTCCCACAAATTCAGGAAAATTCTATTAAACTGCATCACTTGCTATTTTTCTGTGAAGTAGGGAACATGGCATTGCTAAAATTTCTAATCTCACTAATAGATCCTATATGAGACTATCACAGTGATAAAGTAAAAAGTTGTTAAAAAACATTATCACCTAAAGAGAAGTGAATAAAGAACAATAAAAAAAAAAAATCATCTTTAAAAAGTCATGGATTTTACCCAAAGTCTAAATGGATTATAATTCAATTCCTGGTTGATATTTCAGTAAAAACAACTTTGCTATAAATGAGTACTTTAAAGAAGATGGACAGACCTTAAGAATTTAAGGTGATAATAGTCCAAAAGAACAAGCCATCAGATTTCTAAGGCAAGCTTATGCAACTCTGTTTTTCAAACATATTGTATTGGCCACCAAAGCCATTGACACTACTGAATTGTAATAGTAGCCATTCTTCGGACCAGTGGACCACAGACCCTCAGTCAACTCAGAAAAGAAATGGTCCTTTGGTCATGTTACACATAAAACGTCACCTAATATTTTTAAATATTGCAATATTGCATAAAGCCTGAAATGAATATAGTGTACCATATTAATCATATTCCATATTTCTCAGCCATGTTTTTATGTGGCACATAAAACATGTCATTCAATAAGACCTGCTATAAAACTTCACTTGAACTCTAAACAAACAAATAAACAATCTTTTGATTTGCTCTATTATATAAACCTCATATGACATATCTGACAATGCAAAGATATTAATATTCTGGTGCACTAAGAAACTATAGTGTAAAAGTTACTCAGACAGCATGACTGTTCTTCAGCTATACTGGTTTTGTTTTTTGTTGTGGGTTTTTTTTGTTTGTTTGTTTTTTAATTTCTTTATGCTCGTAACAGCTTTTATTATCCAAAAAGGTAGAACAATTTCTCTGTTTTTTTTTTTCCTCTTATGTTGTGAATTTGTTCACTGAAGTTTTAGTAAACAACACTGTTCGGAGTCTGAATACATACCAAAAGCTGCCACTTTTATGATTATGGCTTCAATGTTAGATGATATCATTTCTTTAAGCAGTATTTCCTCCCTCCGACGCCAAAGGTAAGCTAAAGGTTGAAGATTAAGTCTTCTGCATCTAAAAAAACCCAATAACAACAAAAAATGAAAACAAGCATTATATTTTTGTACAGAATAATTAATTTAAAATTAAATAAAATGATAAAGTCCAACATTAAAAAAAAAAAAAAGAATCTTGTTCCGACTACACTAACCTACATAAGCTGCAACTCATTGATATCAATAAATTTGCAGGGGAACATAAGGAAAACTGAAAGAAAATGCATTACTTAACCTTTATAGATGCAAATCCATTAACATCTTAGGAAATTATAACTTTTTTATGAACACAACTAAGGCAAGAGTTACTATGAGATAACTGTTGCACACGTTAGCAAATAAAGTTTGTTGCTCTCAAAAAATCTGTGATTTGGATCAACAGCCAATGAAGAGAATCACTAATGGGAACATTTACAGCTTGAGTACAAAGTAGTAACTCGATAATGTAAACTTAATTATTTGTTTACAAATATATATATCATACTGACATAGTATTTGATTATCATAGTAGAGAATCACTACTTTGCAGTATTGATGGTTAATCCTTCTGTTAGTTGTCAAGTACCATCAGTTGGTGATAAAGTGTATAAAGCCTATGTTCTGGAAAATTTAAAAACATGAAAATACAGGGACAACAGGGACTATCTCAATGTGCAACAACAGAAGGAGATGATAGTGCCTTCTACTGGGATACAAGCACCATGGACCAATAAAAGATATTGAAAAAAAATTAGCTCAATCCTTCCGACAACTGATGATGACTGAAGAGGAGCAATCTCAGCTGCTAACCCTTAAATGAGGGCAAGGAGGGGCAGGCCCAGAGTCCGCCCATTCTAGTCACTCACGTGCAGCTGAGCTCCCTGGGTTTGCCATGCCTCTTCACCTGATGCTCAATCATTGGTTCAGGCCATGGCCTGCCAATTCCACTGCACTCAAGTAACTGAAAAGTTTTATTTATTTGTCACTTAACACTGTTTAATTAAAACATGGGATATCCCATCACTACTAGCATTGAGAATTTGTAGTTAAATGGATTTCTATGTTGATACCTACATTCATAGTTAACACCCATGTAAATCTGATTGGTTTTGTGATTGTTTTCAGATATTTTAATAGAGAACTCAGTTGTGAAATTACTAGAAACATTTAGCAACTCTGAATGTCAAGGAGTTCATTTAGGTGCTCAAATTCAGCTTATGAATTAGCTGAATCCAAGTAACTGGGATGATTTCTGTAAAAAACATTTGCAAAGAGTAAATCTTCAAATCAGTATTAATAAAATCTCTGAAATATAGTGATACTACATCAATCTTTCAGCTGTAATAAAAGATCTGAAACCCATAATCAACAGAAGCCATCCCTTCTAAAACATCTAGTAATATGACCAGGTCATTAAAACTGACTATTGTTCCTTTATATCAGTACTCACATTGAATGTTATGGAAAAGAAGATGAAAGGAGCTATTTCTGACTGCAATTTACCTCTGTAAAGTGTAAAGAAAACATCTGTGCTAGGTAACTTGCTGATGTGAGCAGAGCTGGCATTAAATCAAATTCAGGTTCATAAAGTGTTTCACATATTTGCTTGTATCATCAACAAATAAGTAATGGACTCAGGAAATCATAATTCATATTTAGGCTTTTTTTTTTTTTTTTTTTTTTCATTTCTGAAGCATAAATTTTTTTTCCATACCCAAATCAGTCTGAGTAACACACAATTTTCAAGAATTCCCATTACATAATTTTTTGTTTTCCATTTAGACTTTCTGAAGTATCACAATTTATTCAAGCTTAAAGAATATGCACAGCAGAAATATTACTGAAAATTCCAGATTAACAATTATGGACTTCAGATTTCAAGCAAGTAATGGAAGATTGGTGAATAAGGACTGTCTTCCGTTTCATTCCTGATAACAAGTTACAAACTGCTCCCACTTTAAAATTTTGTTGAAAAATACATATACATCACCACTGGAATTGATATACACACACACACATACGTGTCTCTGTAATTGATTTCAGCTGAAGCTCAGTCAAAGACTGAACCTATTTCAACTTGGAGAGTAATCCCAAACTCTGGTATACTTTCTACTGGATTTTTACTAATGACATGTATTACATACAATGCTAATAAATATGAAATACATAGTTTCAGGGGAAAAAAGGAAAAAATATACTTCATATTAGCAAACTGAATGAATTAGGTATCACAGAACATGAGAAATAAAATCATCTGTTCCAGAATTTGAAGGAAAACAAATGAACAAAACACTTTCCAGTATATCTATGTTAATAAAGATATAACGTGTTCTTACACATCTTCAACTCGAACTCTCTGGTAGTCAGAAAGAATAGCTCCTACAGACACACCCTCCACTGCTTCTTTGTCCTGAAAGAAGAAAAGGAATAATAATGATAAACATTGTACACTGGCCTGAAAAATAGAGTTTGAGTACTTCTATCAGAAGAATCAACCAAGACTAAATGATTTTTCTTGTGCCCAATAAATGGAACAAAGTGGGCTGCAATGCAGATTCTACATAGAAGAGAGCAATACAGCTGACCTGCATGATGGTTACGACTCCAGAGTAAGCAAGTATCATTCTGCAAGGAATAATCGCTGTAACTAAAAAATACCAGATTTAACAGTCTATTCTAACACTTTCCTGACACCCTGAAAATGACCCACAATTCTTCACTATAACTGAAATGTCAGCTATCCTACCTACAAATAAATCAGTAATACATAATCATAAAGTATAATCAAAATGTTAGCATTTGTCATAAGAAATAGCACAAGAATAAAATATGATAGAATATTTGCATGGAACTTAAAATCACCTACAAATTGTAATAAATAAATAAATCAAAGCTTTCCCAATACATTGTCTCTGCAGCCCTGTTTTATTTCAATTACTTAAGCAGTCCTTTATTTTTTTCTTGCGAACGCATTGAAAACGTACATATGTAAAATATTTCGCCTTCTTAAATTCCTTGGGTTCCAGTCAACATGTTGGACTCACTTCCTTTCTTTGACGTTACTCTAGACACAGATGCTTTGTTCTTTCAACCAAGGTTAATTGTAACTATACAAGGTGAGTTATGTTCTGGAGCTGATCAGTTACACATCAACCCTTTGAAGCTTGCAGAAAGACTACCACAAAATTTTGAACTATATATCTATGTACAAATTTCAAAATCAAACCAGTCTAGGAAATCCTGCCATAGTACTGAACTAAAATTCTCCAGAGTCTTAATAATTCTACTTTACATTTGTCTGGATACCTCTTCTTCATACTCTTTATATTAATTTCCGGAGGTGTCCAGTGCTAGGATGAGAGGCAGTGGGCACAAACTGGAAAACAGGAGATTCCATCTGAAAATCAGGAAGTACTTCTGTGATTCATTGGTGACAGACGACTGGCACAGATTACCCAGAGAGACTGGGGAGTCTTTTGGAGATCTTCAAAAGCTATCCAGACATGGGATGAGGCAACCTGCTCTTGATGGCCCTGTTTACCCAGAGGTCACTTCCAAACTCATCCATTCCATAATTCAGTGATGATAAGTTGATTCTATTACTGAAAAACAATAAATTGCACCACTCCTAGAATCTCAATGGATTTCCTACTCATCAACTCCACCTGCAAAGAAAGACACAGAATGTCTTTGCACTCAGATTTAATTAGGAAACAATTTTCAGATGGAGGAGTATGTACACTCTTTCTCCTATATGAAGCCTCTTTAGAGCCTTCAAATTAACCACCTACAATTCTCTACAGAGCTGTTTTAAAATAAAGGTGACATACGCAAAATCCAATAACCTTTCTTCAGAGTCAAGCAGAGTAAAAAATAATACATCAAATAAACATCTCAACACTCAACGTGAAGTTTGCTTTCACACACACAAAAAAAAAAAAAGAAATCAAGACATTTTCTTTCTTTTTCAAACATATTTGAGTAATAGCACCCTCAGGAAAATTGATGCAAATTACTAATTAGGTTAATTTAAATTCACAGTTAACTTTTAAGTCAATTAAATATTAAGGCCAGTGAATAAAGTCATTCTGAATAAGGGTGTCCAAAAGAATATTTAATGCTGTTAAATAATCCCTTTTGGAATTATTGGATTAATTTGCTTGATAATCTATGGGAGAAAAGCTCTTTTTCTATGTAGGTTTTCTGTATGACAGGAAAGAAGAATCACCACAGCAATGAAAAAGACTGCTAGTGTTCAGAATTATTCAACATGGAAATGCTTTATCAAGAGTTCCTTTTGCTGTTCTTTTTTTCCTTAAAAATTAGAAAAATACAAACACTAGGCTCTTGAACTTAATTTATAGCTAGCCCTATCTTGTGTTCTTTACAGATCTGAATGAATAATGAAAAAATGTCTGAAGTACTATTATACTAAACAAGTTATATTTTCTAAATAAAATGGAAAACTCAAAAAATGGAATCACAATGTCTTTCAAACCTACTTCTTCGTACCTGACAAATGGTACTTTTTCATTATGTTGTAGAACATACAGGGCTCAGTGTAAACAAACATTGGCAAAGGCTGGGAAGAATTCGCTTATTCTACTTATTGAGATTACTGGATTATTTTTTTGTTTGTTTGTTCATTTCTATTAAATTAACAGCAGTTTGCACACTACTAAACAGAGATGACTGTAATTCTACCTTTTTCAGAGTCCTTTACAATACAAACTTTGCCAGGTAATAAAAATCTTCATGGTCATGCAGTACACAATATTAACTCTACTAAACCATGAGAGTAATGCCTTCTAAGAATTTCCACAGACTATATAACAGATACTAAGAGCACAATAACACTGTGTTCAAAAGTAGATTTTCAAAAGTTTTTTTTATAAGACTGAGATGTATAATATCCATCATTAATAGAATGTTGTATAGAAAAAAAATCAGTTAAGAATTACAAGAACTACATTTTAAAAGTACTTTATAAAAAAAAAGAAATTTTCCCTCCTACAAATTCCAAGACTGAGATATAGTCAAACTTTTCAATAGAGAATGTAGTAATACAAATAACTCCTGCAAGTGGCCTATGTTTATGGCCTTAGAGTTCTTACTTTTACCCTTTGGAAAATGTTAGTCACTTCCGTGGAACTAAACTCTGAGATCTTATAATCTCACAGAAAGCAAACAGACTTTTTCAATTTTCAAATTTTCAAAATTATTTACATTTAAGAACTCAGAATAAAAGTATAAATTAAACAACTATTTTATGCACATATTTTTAAAGGTGTTGGTTTTTTTTTTTTTTTTTTTTTTTTTTTGAGTATTAGCATCAGCAATAATTTTTAAAAGCAGAAGAGCTCGCCAATTAAGCAGATTCACTATGCTGCCAATGCTTATTGGTCCTGTTTTATTTCTATGCATGCCAGTTGCCTGAAGTAGCATTATGCTCTAAAGGAAACCACTTCATAACACAATTTAAAGTTACTCTGAACTCTTACTCTTATTGTAATTTTGAACAGAAACAGTTTGCCAACAACCTTTTATATTATACTGTCATCAATTTTTATAGACAATAAAATTGTAACTGTTATTTTGCTGTTGTTGATTTGCTAACAGGTTCAGTTGAAATATTCATGGCTTTCCTAAATGTTTCTTTCAGAAAGAAATTATTCACAAATGAAATGTTCAGTCATAGTGTCTGCGTAGACAATAGTAATTAGGAAACTATTTTTAGGGTATATTTTCCACACAATTGAGGAAAGTTTTCATTAAAATTCTCACTGAATATACCATCATACTGTTTTTGTTTTTGTTTTTTTGTTTTGCATCTATTTATCCACTAAAACAAACAAACAAGGAAACCATGTGTTCAGATATTCTGAAAAAAGTCACTGCTTATCATTTAAGTAACAACTTCTACTGCTCAAGATACAAGTGGCAAACTATCCCACAAACCAATGGTTTTGTATCTCATACATACACTGCATGTGTAGTCTCAAACTAGATTAACTTCCAAGGCTACATATGATAAATAAAAATATCATATATAATTTTCCATACACTTTTATAATACATATGCTTTTTTTTTCCTCATCAAAAAATAAAATGTTTATTATTATAACCATGATATTTATTATAGTGCAGTGACACCTCTTCAATTACACCTAGCTACAATTAATCTAATGAGTGGAGATACATGCGTATGAATGCATATGCACACATACACAAAAAAGTATATATTTTTACATATACATGTATGCAATACATATTGAAGTTAGTAATGAACAGAATACTGTCATAGCCTGCTTGCTTGCAAGCTATATTAATTCTTCTTTAATATTCATAAACTATTTATTCTGTATTTATACTAGTTTATTTCTTTTAATAATGCATAAGTTTTTCACGATCTTTTGAAATGGCAGTACTTCATGCCATATTTCAGTTCTGGTTAGCAGAACTGAAGTGTAAGAACATCTAACAGGGAGCTATTCACCACCATCACTTTTAATTTAGTTTTTCTGCAAATACATAGTTCCATCACTATGCAGACAGCACAGTGCCACAAGGGGAAACAATTAACTACTGATAAACTTAATATAGTTAATAAATGATTTGCAACAGAAGAGCTAGTTAATATAAATACATTTATCTCACAAAAGGGTATAAATTCAATTATCTTATTCTGTACATTTCAACAAATCAAGACTAGAGCAGAACAAATTCAAGAAAAAGTTACTGAAGTGTAACAATCTTCATAAATTCCTCAACTGGACCAAGTTTACAGCAAAACCTTGCTGTAATTGGTATTTAGCTCAGCACTTCAAGCACTGAAAGAAACCTAGTTCTTCAATAGATTCACTATGTGGCACTGGAATTGTTACTGGACAATTTGCAAACAGAATTTATTCCAGAAAGAAATTCCAGATTTAATTGTGACATAGCTCAGATAGTACACTTTTTAATATGTAATCTAAACATGTTTGATACTATTAAAACATTTTTACAAAACTCAGCTTGTGTAAAGAAGCCTGAAATCTGTAGGGAGTATCAGGGATTAGCATTTAACTCAAAAGCCAAGGAAGCAACTTTGAGGAAGAAATATGTTAGTCTCTGTGCCATAGAAAGGGCTACAGACAACATGAAAATGTTGGATGAAAATTAATATTAACTTATTTTAATTATCTCATTAGTACAATAAACCAGTTGAAAGTAAAAATACATTTTTGCTTCTCTGGAATTTCTGAGCAGTACAGAAAGTATTTATGTTCAGCACAATATGTTACAAAGTATTATATCACTACATAAGGTGATAAAGACAGGCACTAAATGCAAACAGAAACACAAATACATGCTAACAACTATTTATATTCTATTATTTAATATTGTAATTTCTCCCACAAAACTAGCAATACTCATTTTAAAGGCAGATATGAAAATGAAGTTTAAAAAATTAGAATAAATTCTTGTTAGTTGGAGTATAGCTTGCTTTTATATACAAAAGATTACAAGCTTTACCTATAAGTGGAATTACATTACAACTACAACACTTGTTGTTATCACCAGACTATTCCTATTCATAGCATTCATGAATAATAATCTTCATAATCAATCGTGTTAGAACAACAGATAGATCTTTTCAACTGTAACTGTATTAAAGTCCACAATTTCTGTTTAAAGCTTCCTAGTTTTGAAGATTTTATAAATAACATGATTTGAAATTACTGCCTTTTTCATATAATAAAATACTTGCACTTTCCTTTTTCTTTTAGAATATATAATGAAAAATTAAACAGTTCTGTGAAAGCTCCAAAGCATAGCTGCCATGAGTGTGCTTACTGTTAGGCTGCTGTTAACATGGCTATGTAGAACCCATGTATAAAATTGAAAAACTACTTCACAGCTGACATAAAGAGAAATGTAAAATAATCTAAGCTAGCACACTGTGATTTCATTTCTGATCTTTTTATTCTTATTTTAGTAACTGAAATGCAATTAAGGATAGTGATAGTAATAAGTAACAACGTCTACATAAGTGCTGTAGTACACAATATCAGTAGAGGTATTCCACTAGTGAGTAAAATATTCATTGCAGTGGTATTAGTACTGAGGTTTTCTTTAATTTCACATTTTAATGTCTTTACCTGACCTTCTCAGACTTCAGCAAAATGAAAATTAGTGCTAATGTTTTCTATTTAATTAGTACATTACAAGCACTGTAATTATTAGTGGGAAATGTTATATTAATGAATGTAAAACTTAGCAGTAAATTACCTCAGAGTTATTATCAATTTCCCAAGTTACTGCTTCTTAAGATAACCCTCTCCCTATGGTCCTTCCAGTAATTTTTCTTTGCCTGATAAACATGATGATTAAACAGCACGCAGTGCAAACCTTTGATACTTTTTAAATTAAATCCATGCCCAGCCTAAGGGCTGTGTCTGATTTCAACTAAATGTGTCAGTTAATCAGATAAAAAATTATCAGCAACTAAAAGAAACAGCAGCCTTAGGCTTCATCAGTGCCAGAGAAAGCTGAACAAAATAAGACAGACAATATCACATTATGAGTAAAGGTTACTGCTGAGCATATAATGGCATAGAACTTTTCACCACATTAATGATGTCCATCTTAAACAAAACATTGCACACAGCAGTCAAAAGAGTACCAAAGAAAGAAAAAGTTCTAGATCTGTGCATATAGATGCCTGTTTATATGGATTGCAAGAAAGCTTGAAGACTCTCACTGACAAAAATGGGATAATATTGTTAAAAATTTACTAATTAAAGGAGATCTATGTAACACAGTAAGTATATGAAGAATGGTTAAACTACTTAATCTTTAAGAAAACTGCTTCTTACCTTCATCAAAAGAGAGTTTATGGCCAAGATACACAATAGATTATCTCAAAATAAAATTGCCTTTCCAATTAATATCCTCTTTGAAGCTTGCATTAGTAACAGAAAACGTTATAAGTGTTTAAGTGTTTAAGCTTTAGCGTAAGGTCATTTCTGTCTAGATTGCAACTATCTGTCATTTGGAAAAATTTCAATGAAAGCACAACATATTTGCAGGTACATGACACATAAGTACACATTAGCAACAAGACTTTTACACTTCTGCAAGTATTTGAATAGAAGATTCTTAAATACAAGATATTACTTATAGTTTATAAAGCATTCTAAGATCAGTGATTACACACATTTCAGAGTATGTGATATTTGTAAGCATTAATATGTATTTCAGAGGCAGCAGCAATCTATTAAAGACAGTAAAGAAACATCCTTGTAACCATAAAATAAAGGTGACTGTGAGAAGCCTACTGGCTCCTAAGCTTCAAAACAGGCTTCTATATCCACAAAGGGGATAAATTAAAAGCCTATTAATTAATAAGTTCCCTTGCATAATTAAATTATTTTGAAAACTGAAGGTCAAAATTTCATAAGCATTTTTAAGATAGTCCCTTAAGTGGAAAGCTACAATGGTAGCATTCAGAATTTTCGAGGAGAATGGGATATTACACTTAGGAAATAGCAAATTCAGTATTTTCATTGAGCGGAATTTAAGTAGCAATGCATTATAACAGGAGCAGAGGTAGTAGATTGTGTGTGATGGTAGGTAGTAGATGCAGGAGAAAGTGATTATCCTCTTCCATTCAGGAAGAATACTGCACTCACTTTTTGAATCTCTCAAAACAAGAGAGAAACAAACCGAGGCAAGCAGTGGGCCACCCAAATGTGGAGGGACCTGGACTGCTTGCTCTGCGTGGAGAGGCTGAGGGAACTTGGTTTGCAGTTTGGAAATACCAAAGCATCATGTAGAACCTAATAGCAGCCTTGCAGAACTGATGAGAGATGAGAGTATTACCAAGACAGAGGTAGGCTCTTCACAATGTTGTAGAGTGACAGGATAATGGATAAGAAGTGCAAGCTGGCACTAGAGGCTTAGATGGAATATTATGCAAAAAGTATTACAGCAGTAGTAAAAAAGGAAACCTACAGATGATACGCTGTCTCAATCTTTGGATAGCAAGCCCTGAGCAGTCATGTTGGACCTCACACCTGACCTAGCACCAGTCAGTAGTTTGGATTAGATTATCTCCTGAGGTTCCCAACCACTTGAATTTTTTAATGGTGCTCATTTTTTCTTTTCCTGTGGCAATGCTGTACTAATGAGAAAAGGAGGTAGAGAATTACAGTAACAGTGTTCCTTTTCTGAAAATTCCATGCTTTTTTGAATTGCTACTTTATGAAAAATAAAAAAAAAATCATATTTACTTTAATCTCATGAGACACTTCCCTAGTGTTTTCCATGAGCAAGTTTTTAACAGGTTTTAATAGCACAAAAAGAGACAAATCAACAGATATAAGACTGGACAAGACAGAAAGAGACTGAGAGAGGAGTAGCTTTGAGACAAGCAAATAAAAATGGAAATCTTCAAAAAAAAAAAAACCAAAAAGAAACACAAATAGAACAAGTATCTTCAAAGCACAAAGACATTAAAAGTAATGACCTTCTCATTCACAAAATGAATCAACTCTCGGAGCCAAAACACAGTCCCAATTCACAATGAAAAAATAACATTTACTGCTAGCCAAAATACTGCAAATCTCTTCCCAACAGCATCCATACTGCACTCACAAGGAGAATGTCAATGGTTTACGGGCTGGTTCAGCCCAGTTCCATGACTAGAGGGATGGAGGGATTTCGCAAAATCTGCGGCTCTGGAAAAAGGGAACAGGGGACCCCAAAATAATTAAAACCAGCAGCAACGATCTGAGGAGAAACAAACTAATTTACTAAATATAGTATCAGAATGCAAGATAACACACCATCATACAATATAATCAGAATTGAAGCTAATAAATCTAACATATTCTAACATAAGGTGGATAGGCCTCACCATAATGCTGAGGTGAGATGCGCAGTTCAGTTGAGCAGCAGCGAGACGAAAGAAGAGAGCCGACAAAGAAGAGCAGACAAAAAAAGAGCACATCAGGTGACCTTGCCTGAAGTTATATCTTCTCTCTATGACCACAAAGTCCTCTGGGGAATGTAGTTCTTCTTCTCTTCCGGGCAGGTACCCAGAACTTGAGCATTAACAGTTAAACTCCCAGTGCCCCACATGATGTTATGATGTGGAATACCAAGAACCAAAAATCACAAAACCATGACAGAGATGCATGTGTAGTACTTTCAGCTTTACTATTTGTCATCAGTTTATGAGCTGGTTCAGCACATAACTCCCAGTGTTCTACATGATATTATGAAGTCAAATACATATAACAAAAATCACAAAACCATTATACCATTTCAGTGTATGAAAAATGCTGTGAAGTCTTGGATATTAACCATAGTGTATATGTCCAATATATAATGATATCATTAACAAAAAAAAAAGAAAAAAATCAGCCTCTTGAAACTACGCTGTCAAAATGTTCAGTCATCACCTCAGAAGACTCCATGAATAGTAAGAATAGTAAGAGGTCTGCTTGCTGAAGCCAACAAACTAATCAACCAGGGTGAAGATGGACAGTTCTGTAATCCAAAATAATACCTGCTAATAAGTACACTAGTATACTTCACAGGAGAAAAAAAAAAAAAAAAAAAAAAAAAAAATTACCTCCTTTAAGCCTTTTGGTTTTGTTAAAATTAATTTTATATTTACAAACAGAAGTAAGCTGAAATGTAGTTATTTAAGTTCTATGTTTAATGTCTCCTTCTCTGATTGGTTGATCCTAATTTTAAAGGATGTGGGATAGAATCCTCTTGCATTACTTTCTTAAGAAAGCTTATTAAGAGATGCAGAACCATCTCAAGAGTTGTAAAGAAATGTCACCACCTACTTGACTTAAACACAAGCGCAAAAATGCTGGGCTGTGTTTTACTGCGGGAAAAAAAAAGTCTTTCAACTTCAAATTGAAAAACCACTGTATAGTAACATTCTCTAGATCGCTATAAATCTCAAGCACTTACAGATCACTACAAGTCATCTTGAACTTTTCCATCATCTGCTCAGAGACACGACACAACATATATCTCATCGTTTTATTCCCTAGGAAGAAGTAATCCAAAAACAGGGGTGAAAATGAATTTAATGCAGGTCCATATTAAATTCTTGTCTGAACACCTCCATGAAGAACTTTGTTAGTCTTCAGTGAGCTGAGCTTGACACATGTACAAAGCAAATTAATTTTCAATAATAGTATCTATACAGAGAGAGATAATAGGGCATAACAGTGTAACTAATCCATCTTAAAAGCTAATTAGGATCATTTTTACAAACGCCCTACGTAGAGCACAGACACACACAATAATACATTTACGCATAACCATTGGCATAACTTCAAGAGTTTTACAGATGCAATTACTGAAATACTGCATGCGTATACACACTAAACCTATTAACTGAGTATGTATTCATCAGCTCACAGTCACAGCTTTCAGTATCTAATGGCAATCTCCTAATAACAACATTTAATTACTGCATGGTCCTCTTGCTACCTGGAAGCTCCAAAGACTCAGTGAGTGCAGGGGTATGTTTGTACACACATGAACATATGCACATAACTGTAAATGCAAAAGGAAACAGAAAAAGAGACAGAAATAACATTCTCCAAGTCTAGTATCAACAGTAAATCTACTGAAATACTTCGGTTTGAAAGTGCTAAAATTAAGTTATGAATAGTAAATACATAAAATCAGGGCAATCTTCCACTATAGTCAACTCAGCACGCCATAACAGCAAGTTTTGCTGACATACTGTTTTTCATTTAGCTGCATATCCAAAGTGAATAATTATTCTTAGGAATTGCAACTCATTTATTTATGACTTTTTAAAAAAATGTTATATCATATACTAAACATTTTCAGAGATTACAAGTACACATATGAAGAGGTTTTTTTTGAAAGCTATCATAATATTTCACTTTTTTTTTTCTAAAGTATTTAATTTAGAACAATGTTTAGATTCATTTTTTCTAATTAAAATGTAATGCTAAAAACAATGCATGTAACTGGCCTATCTGTTATGTAATGTAACTTCCCTGTTAATGGAATGTTTAATTAATTGCTTTCTTACAGAACTTGAAAATTTTTTGCTTTCTTTTGTTTTAGGTTAGAAATAAGGAAAAAGCCCTTTACAGTGAGAATAGTGAATGAGGTGAGGATGGAACAGATTGCCCAGAGATACGCTGGGTGCCCCGCTGCTGAAGACTTTAAAGGCTAGATCAGATCAGGACCTTGGCAACCTGGTCTAGCTGTGTGTATCTCTGTTCACTGCAGGGGAGCTGAACTAGATGACCTTTAAAGGTCCCTTCCAACTTCAAGGATTCCACAATTCTATAAACAAGTCAACTGAGTGCACAAGAAGACTACATGCCACCAACATAAGCTACAAAATCTCTTTCAGGGAGACAACAGTCTGTACACACACGCAAACCAAAACAAACAAACAAAAAAATCCCACATTTTGTGCAGAAATTTGTTTTCACATAAACATATGCTTCACCTTTGTGACTTTCATCTCCTAAATATTCAAATAATTACAGAGCAGACTTGCTTGCAGACCCTTCTTTCAGTAAATCTTATTTATAACATTACCTCTACAAAGACAAAGTACTTAAGTTGATAACCAAATTTAGCATGGCCGACTCCAGATTAAATAAAAGACATTACACTATAACAATAGGTTGTCAGTGAACATTTACAGAACAGTTAAATTAATCATACATTTGTGTCTGTTCCCATGCTGGACTGGTAATCTTAGGTGTTGGTGACCATAAGTGCAATTATTTTGCAATCAAATGCAATTATCTCAACAGTTATTATCATAAAAGGCTGACAATAAATTTTTAAACACTTCTTACACATTTAACTAGAATCAATAGCTTATGACTTTAAGTTGAAAAATTACAACAGCTAAAACTGCATGTGTCTTCGTGAGAGTGAAAGAATAATAAAAGATTGGTCTTATGAAGGCAAGTACTTGCCTTCATATTATGTTCCAGATCAATGGATGGCCAAAGACAAACCTTTTTCTAAATAGAGGTAAAAGAATCATAAATCTGGATCTTCTCTTGACTAAAAGCACATGTTTTAGATACTGCTAATCAGCCCCTCTGCATCATACTCTGACTTCAGACAAGTCAGACTTTCTTACATTTATACTTTTAGTAGTATCTTTAGCAAACTGTATAAACAAGCATTCAAAAACCATGTTCTTAAATATGCACACAAGTTTCTTTCCCCCCTTTCTTCAGATTAGCATTCCACTGCACAACTTCCATGTGGACCAATTTCTACGTGGCAATGGCAATCTGCCTTTCCACAATGAAGACCAAACAAAAATCCAGTACAGCATCTACAAAACAGACACAACGGCTTGTCCTGGTTAGATGAGATATGCAGCATGGTTCTTCCACACAACCAGGTAGAGGATAGTCGGTTCAACTCAATAACATTGACATACATATATATTTATACATATGTAAAACAAGTGATGTACAAAGCAATTGCTCAGCACTTACCAACCCATGCCCAGCTTTTCCCCAAGCAGTAGCTGCTCCCCTGGCCAACTTCCCACTGCTTTTCAAGCTTTTTTTAATCCACATGATAACATACGATATCGAATATTATTTTGTCCATTTCAGGTCATCTCTCCTGGTTCTGTCCCCTCCCAGTTTCTTTTGTCTCCTTAGTTCCCTTCATTAGCTGGTCAGTAACAGAAGCTAAGAAACTGAAAGTTGCTTCACTCTGTACAATACTGCTAAGCAAGAACTAAAGCCAAAACAAAGTACCATACAAGACAGTATGAAGAAAAAATCAACTCTGACCCAGCTGAAACCAAGACACACGTTTTATAAGAGTAAGTGAATTTCCATTTAGGATTGATTGACATTATAAAAAAATATATATTCAGTGCAATATTTGGACAAGTCATGCAAGCATTGCCAAAAGTGTTCATTACTACTTGCCTGAGATGCTGATTACAATCAGAGCACATTAGTTCAAAACTGTAACACCTCTCAGCAAAGTGTTGAAGTCTCAATTTTTAATATAAAGCATGTATTATACTGAAGGAGATTACAGTGCAGCAATAGGTTACTGGAATACAAAATTACCAGCTAATGAATGTCCAAGAAGAAATTTGCCTGGAAACGTAACATTTACCTTATCTCATTTAGGTTGAACCATCTTCTTGCATGCTGTAAGCATCAGTGCTCTGATGATGAATTTTTGTGGCCTTCCACTGAACTCAGTCCAATATGCCTACTATCTTACTTTTCCCAGAGAGCCCCAAATTGCACACAAGAGTGCAGGTACAAGTGCCAAGCAGAGGGGAAGTATCACTTTCTTAACTTGCTACCTATATCCTGACTAAGAATGCCTAAAATGATAGCAAAGCTTCTAAGTACTAAAAGAAACGTTCCAAAACAATATTAAAAAGCACTCTCTGACAAGCTTTTAGACAGTTTGCATGAAGATTCAAATTTTCCTCTTCAATGGAATGTCTAGCAAAAAACAAGGGTTCTTCCTATTTCCTGATCACAGGAGAAACAAGTACTTTTCTATATAATCTCAGTTCCAAATATAATGCTCAATGCAGCCACCTAGCCACAAACCCTTTTAAATTGTCTATGCCTTTGTTTAGAAATGATAACCTATGTAGAGTGATAGCCTAATAATACAATCTCAATAACAGCATTCTCACATCTACAATAAATAAATGTTTGCATTAGCTTACTTAAAGTTTATGTAGAGAATTAATTAAAAAATAAACACTTAAAACAGGAAAGGAAATAGAGTACACCATAAACAAATAACACTTTTTTTTCTCCTTAAAGAAAACATCTTAGATGTGTTACAAAAATGTTGCACTAAGTACAGCAGTATACAGAAGACACAGCTATGGTAAAGGTATGTAGATTCAGAAAATAATGCCTTTTGTTTATTTCCATGGAAACAACAAGAGATACTAACAGCACAACACTCTTTGGAAGAGCAAATCCTCAGCTATAAAGCATTATTTTTCAACATAGCCACCATCTGCTACGCATTTTTTCCAATGATGAAGAAGAGCCTGCATGCTGCACTCATAAAATCTGCACCAGCAGAGACAACCCATTGTCTCACATTGCTCCTCACCTTTGCTCTATATGCACTTTCATGTCAGACACCATTTTGTCAGATTGCCCCTCTGCTGCCATCTGTCGCACAGCAGAAAAATATAACAGGATATTTGGTGGGAATATCTGCCTCTACTGCCATAGCAACACTGTCCTCTACAGACACTGTGGGCCAACATATAAAATAGGAGGCATTACTTCTGGATAGGCCTTGTAGAATGCTTTGTTCCTACTCATAGCTGGTTGTATTAATCCCAGCACAATGTCCTTGAAATCAGTGACAAAAATCCTGAAAACTGATAGGATTCCTTTTCAATCAGTTTCCCAGGATGGCATATATTAGGAACCATCCAAACCAAGATTGGTAATAAACTGTTATTTGGTTTGGCTGTGTTCAAACCTTCAATACAGTTTTTAACTTTTTCTAAAAAGCCTGAACTGTTAATGCCTCCCAGAGTCTAAGTTGGCATTACTGGCATAACAATATTAAAGGACAGAATAGAATTAAGTTTGCATTAATTTTACCTTTTTGCTTTCTGGTACTTACAATCTTTAATATTCCACAGTTGGCAATGTTTCTGCAACAGGGCAGCCATTCACTGACTCCATGTCTTGTCTCTTCCTATAATATACTTTATGCAATCCATAAAATTGGCCACTCATTTTAATTACAAGATGCAGGGCTATTTCCCACTGACAGATCCTCATTTTCTTTCCAGAACATTGCCTTTTAATTTCTAAATCACTTGTGTGTCATTGTAACTAACAAGTAGTCTGGGAATACAGCACTGCTTGGATGTTCTAGATCAAATCAATCTGCTTACAGCAGCAAATTGTTCCAACAGTCCACTAGTCTGAAAAATCCTATATACATAGCAGAGAAGTGCCAGTTTACAGCAGAGTACAAGAGAGAGCTCAGACAAATGAAAAACGCAATCAATTTACTGTAAGTAGAAGCATATTTTTCCAGAAATGCAAATGGACTGTACCACAGAGTAATTCAAGTCAGCCTGCTGCTTTTATTTTGGAGCCTTGAAACGGCGATTTGTTCCTGGTCCCTGTGCACTGATCACATACAGAAGGACAAGAGCATCTGGATGCAAGATTCCAGACAGCAACATGATGGCTACCACATCTTGGTTCTGTGGATAACCAGCAGCAACACACTGAAAAGGGTCTGTTAGCTAGTTGTGATTTGGAAAGAAAAAAAAAAAAAAAGGATTATACTGGATTACACTTAAGCATCTGTTCCTTTTCATGAATTTTACTTTTTTAAAGAGAATCAAAATTGTCAGTAACGGACTTTGCTCAGTACAAGAAGATTTTCAAAGTATCAAAAGAGGTCCACGCTTTTGCTTAAATCTAACAAAAAAGCTTCAATCATGGAAGATAAATAGTATGCTATATCGTAGAAGACTATCAAAGGAGACAATGAAATATCACACAGTATATTCTCAGAATGTAGTAAGATATCTTTATTACTTCTATGAGTCAGGTAAAATTGTTGCATTTCATACATCTTAAAATGCTGAACTAAATCTCCAGCAAATCTCAAACACGTGAAAAAAATAAATGAACCATTCATTAAAACAAAACTTTAACATAAAAATTACCTCCTATTTCTGTCCAATTCGAAACTAGCGTTACATTAGTGGAAAATCTTGCTTTAAAAAAAAGCAACATAGGCTATGGCCAACCTCAAAATAAAATGCTGTTTGACACTACTAGAAAGTCTTGTTTTCTGTACAATGCTCTGTATTGCCTAGACACTTCTAAGT